CAAACAGTTCTAGTGATATTTGCTGTGGTCAACGCAATGATATTTTCAGTGTCCCAGACTTACAGAAAACTGGGACCTTCTTTCTGGGACTTGAGTGATTCTGAAGGCAGTTTTTCTGTGTTCCTCTCCTATTCTCTAAAAATGAAGAGATTTATTCTGTTTCTATCTACATGAATCAGGGATCAGATGATTCAAATAAGTTTGTTTGATTCTGCACTGGCTTGAGTCTTTTCTTTTTAAACTGTGTGAAGGCATTTTGAAACCCTCCTATTTATGAACTTACTTTACATGAGAGATAGTAAAAGTAGTGTTACACCCACCTAACTACAACCAGAAGCTATGAATTTATTTGAAGCTGGCAGCCTAAGCTGCTGTCAAAGGAAATAGGCACCTCCAAAGGGTGCTGAATCCTGTGATGGCTGATAGCCCAGGGCAAGTGGAATTTACTGATAGCTCACTTCACCTACATACTTAATTTTTAGGCACACAAATTGAGGCAATGTAAGCTCTACAAAATACCAGGAAATGGAGAAGTTGTCTCAATGAGTAAGTTTACTTAATGTGTCTCTAATTTCACAGGTCTATGACAGCAAGACTGGAGTACTACAGAGATGGAGGAAGATGGAAGAAAGCAGACAAAACACCTGTAGATCCATGAGGCTCTATCTCCTTCCACATTTATCTGCCAGGAAGTGCAGATGGAGCATCTGCATCAACTCTGAACTGATTTTCCTGAAATGAAAACACAATGTAATAACACTGGCAAGGCAAAGTTCATAGACAGAGGTACCATCTCTCATTAGACCAATCAGTAAATCCTAGTGTGCTATGTGTGGAATCAGAGATAAGAGACACAGAGAAGTTAAGCCACTCCTGATGTCCAGCTCTATGACTACACCCTTTCCTCCAGCAAAAGCAGCTCTAGAGCATTTACAATTGTTTTCCTGCCCTTTTCACTGTCATTTTAAACATTTTCAATGTCAGACAGAACATCTGTGCTAATTTCATTGACAATGGAATATATTCCTCTTGAAATCTTCTTTCCCAGCAGCAGTAAAGTAAAGCTGAAGCAAAGCCAAAAGCACAGTGCTGTTAAAGCCTGGACTGGATAGTTCACAGCCCAGTGCAGATTAATTGCATTTTATCCCAACACTTTTGTGGACAAGGAGAACGAGGGGCCTTTCCACATGCTTGTCTGTAGTGTCAGTGCACCCAGCTGGGCAGCTCATGTGAGGACTGACCTGGCCCTCGGGAAATAGGGAACTTGTCCTCTCAGGAGAGGGACTTTCTCACAGAGATACCTGCAGAATTGAGTCCAACCCTGTGCACTGCTGAGACATTTCAGAGACTCACAGGATGGGTCAGGTTGGGAGGGACCACAGTGGGTCATCCCAGAGGACACTGCCAATAACCACTGACCAATAACCAAGAGATTTCTACCCAGGAAGGCAGTTCATTGGTTTCAGCAGAAAATCCAGGTGAGTGCTAAGGATTCCACTCTAAAAGGAATTCAAATTAAGGCCCTCATTCCAAGCAGCTAAAACAGTTAAGCACCTGCACTGCCTGCTTTAATGAACAGTACAAGTGGCTAAATGAGACTGCTAAATCTAAGGTTATACATGAGCAGGACCTTTGCAAGAACTAATTAAAAAGAAAAAAAAAAAAAAGGTAAAATTATCAAATTGGAAATGCAACAGTCATTTCAATTATAAAAGGCAAAACACTAGTGATTATTGGTCTCCTTATTTAAATGGTGTTTATTTAGAGCCATTAATTAATTAACAGAACCCTGAGATCACAGATAACATTGTCTGGGTAGAACTTCTGTTTCCACACCATACACACACGAAATTCAAAGTGAAAGCCTTAAAAGCCTAATGCAGTGAAGACAGAAAATATTAAACTTTTCAAATCCTCATTTCTCTCATGGCCTTTTGCTCACCCCAGTCTCCTAGCACTTTTTTTTCCTTAAGAGACATTATGTGTTAGGAGAGCAAAGCAGCCTGGGGAGGTGATATTTTACCATTGTCTGTGCCATTAATGCAGTTAAAAAATCCTCAGACTGGAAAAATCAGACAGATGCATCTTCCAGGTTCACATGTGCCAACTCCATCTGTTAAATCATTAAAACACAGGCTTGGCAGATTCTGGAGAAAAACACATTTGTTTTCACTATAAAGAGGAAGAGTAAACTTTCTTTCTGTTCTTACAATTTCCCCCTCCCCCATAATTACTTTAATGTGAAAGTCTGCATGAGTGGGCACTATTTAACATGCTACTGAAAGAGGTTTTCATTGAACTGGGATGTGTATGTGTCAAATTATATGTCATAATCTGGGTTAGTCAAAGAACTATTAAACCAAAGTCTATAGCTACATTAAGATGCTTAATCAGTTGCCTTCTTATTGCATATATCATGTTACAGCACCTATTTAAACACTGATTTTCCTTACAAGAATGAACCTCCTCAGGATAATTTTAAAGGTGCAGTTTAAATAAGGAGCAGTAAATCAAAGAAGCTGCCAAACCTTGAATAAAGTAATTGATAACAATAAACCTTTTCCCAAATCTATAATGAAAAAAATACTTTCTGCTTTCAGGATAAACAAAGGCAACAAAGCTGTAACCTAAATTGAATACCAGCATCCTGTATTTTCTCAATATCTGATATTGGGAAAATAGATTTATTTGGTCTTTTTTCTACTACAGTCACTGTACAGCCATTCTGCACTATGGCAATGTTACCTGTAGTGTACACATCTAAATATTGAGCATTTGGAATGCACCTAAGTATAAAATAGGATGAACCCAGCCATAAGTATGACAATGTGAATAATTTAAATCCCAAGACCTCCTACAGCTACTATTGCAACAGATTGCTGCTGAATGCATTTCTTCCTCTTGGTATTCTACACAGGAACGGAATTTCATTCTCCAGGCTTGTTACTTCAAGTAACATATATCCTATTTAAACCCAGCAATTGTGTTTGGAAGTTTTGTCTTTTCTGTGTTTGCTTGCAGCTTTGCAACTATTTTATATCATCATATTATTAACAGTGGTTCTCTCTGTGGCACCCTTAACAGCAAAGTGGAGAAATGAAAAGCTATTTGGCATCAAGACACCTGCTTCTACAAAATAAATATGTTGCCATAAAGGCTATTCCACTGCACTCTCCTGAAGTTTCCCCAAGTCATGCCCCCTGCCATCCTGTGCATCAGGGCTCACAAAACAGAGTTTCTTCAGCCCTGAAACCAAGATCTCACTTTCTGTGTTCCATAACTGCAACCTTCAGTTCTGTCAACAGTACCCACAGTGGCTGTAGGAGCTGCACTTCTTTCCCAAGAAGAGGCTGAAACACTTCTGTGACTGGAACTGGCAATTCTGCTTTTTGGTCATGCAACCCCATCCTTCACCTTCCTCTCCACCAAAGAGCTTCAGAAAAACCTGATGGGACCTGCCCCAAGCAGCTCTCTTTGCACAGAACTGATGGTGCACTGTGCACTCTGCTATCAACAACTATAAGTGTTATTCCTTTATTTATGGACTCACAGAAGAGTTCTTAGAACCTGGGAAAACTGCAGAACCGCTGCTTTGAGTCATCCAACACTCTCCTAAACGTGCTCTTTCACTTTACTTACACACCCCTTACACATGGCCAGGCTCTGCCCCAGTAACCCATCACAGCTTCTCCACTGAAGATCAGCTTTGGTTGAGATTAAGTGGAACAGAAAGAGTTCCTCCAGTATTTCTCAACATAATATTTACAACCTTACCCCTTTTATTGTTTCAGCATCATTTCACTGCCTGAGCTGTGCTCAGACAGGCAGAGTACAATGTGAGAGCACCAAATAAAGCAAATACAGGCATATCACAGAACACACAACAGGGAGAGAGCTTAAAGCATTTTTCAACAAAAACTGTTACTACAAGTATGGACTTCCTTTCTAGCAAGTATTCTGATTTATGCACTCAGAGAATGCACAGGGAAATGTATCTAAAGGAGACAATCATTTCATCACATTACAGCTACAAATAGAGAAATCTGAACTTATAGCAAATACTCTCAAATTAGAATACAATTAGATGCTGATATTCCATCATCACCTGCAATCACCCTCAAGGGAAGCAAAATTGTGTGAGACTAACAGAACATTGACTTGGTTTAAAATTTACAGGAGGTTCAAAAAACTTTCACATGCATTTTACCTCAGAAACAATGTGCCACTTATTCTTCCTAGCAATGATTTTTCACATAGCATTCTGGGATCAAAATGTAATTTCAACAATAACATATTTTCTGACATTCTTCAAGGAAAAATTACTGGTTTCTTCCCTCTAAAAGGATTTAGATGGAATAACATCTGTGTTGAGATTATTGTGAATATGTTAAACTGACAGCAAGTCTCTAAGGGGCACTGCTCATTAATGTTCTGTGCATAAAATTAAAACTTGAAATATATTTTTCGATCCTTTTTGAATCATTTAAGCAATTCTCATGCAAAGAAACTATTGTGCTGCAATAATATATTTGCAGAGTAGGATATGAAAGCTATTAAAATGTCCTAGACCCCCTGCCTTTCAAGCAAAAGGAAAAAAGGAGACGCTTTCTGATTTGAAATACGCACTGTATTGAAACAAAAAATACTTTCACAGACCATGAAGAGTTTTATTTCAGTGTATACAACGCAACAAAAATTTAAAATTGTGTCCTTTTCCTTCATCTTTAATTCATATTGTGCCTAGGTACTTCAGCACAGAGCAGCAGGAGAATTCTGTTAAGTGTTGCACACTGGCATTTACAAGATATTTTTACCCTGAGCAGCCTACAAGTGGGGCCATATTCTTGGAAACTGCAGTAGGGCAGCATTCTGCCAGCTCTCTGCAACCAGGGCTGGGGAGTTGTGCTCAGAGACAACACCAATTACTAAAGGATTTTAATACAGTTTGAAGGTGACAAAGGTCTCCATGTCAGCAGAAGAAATAATTTCATTTGGAGGGCATGTGTATTTATTCCACCAGGTACAACAGAAACGTAAGTGTATCCATCAGGTTTAGTGTAAAGCTCAAACCCAAACAAAGTCCAGAGAAATGTGCATAAAAGCTGTAGCTGCAAGTGCCATTTTATGGAGGAAAAAAAGGAACACATTACTGTTGAGAAAACAGACATACCCTCACTGTTTCAAAAGCCACTGGATAAGTACAGCCACAATAAGATGACAGTTCTAAATTTTGCCACAACATATGATTCTAACCAAGCCATTGGGTTCCTTCCATACATGGAAATTCAGGAACTCCAATTAACATATTAACAAATTCTTGATGTGATAGACTTTAGCAGGTTTTTTGAATGAAGCCTGAGCTTATAGTGTCAATGGGGTTTTGTTGCTTGAATCACAGCAACCATAACAAGGCAGTCTCAGGCTGCCTATGTCTGAAATACTATTTAAAAGCAAAAGCCACTGAAGTTATGCTCACAACCTCCTCTATCAGATTCCACACCCAATATTGCAAATCACAGACCAGCAAGCATAGAACTCCCAGTACTAATTAATATTTTTGGTAAACATTTTCAATGCAAGAGCCTCAGCAGAGATACACAAATGCAAGTATAAACCCCTCAGCAAACAGCTTCATTCTCAGAGGTGCCGGCACTGCTGACGTGGAGGGGAAGACACAAGCTCAGTGTAGCTGAAGGAAAATCTGTGAGGATGGCAATGCTCAGAGTGTGAAGTGCAGGCCTTCAGGAATACGAACAGGGAACAGGGACCGGTGCTCTGCGGCTTTCCTCGGGGACATCAACATCCCCCCCCTCCCTGCTGTTATCGCCCATCAGCGCGGAGCATTTGTTCTACTTTCCCAGCCAGCAGCCCCTTCAGAGCACTGCTGGTGGCCTCTGCAGAGCTGCCAGAGGTGCCAGCGAAAGCTGGAGCACCGCAGGAAGGTTTGGGAATTACTGGTCACACACTTGTTAGAGACACAGCTCTGGGATAATTCCCCAAATCGCAAGCACGGGTGTGCTATTCATGGCACACACACGTGGGGCACCGCCCTGTCTGAACTTCCCACACAGAAACCAGCATTCAAACACCTCTCCCAGCAGGAACCAGCGCAAGAGAAGCTGCACAGCCCCCTGTGCTAGAGCTGCTCCCACGAAGAAAGAATTACTGTCCATAACACCCATCTCTCCATAAGAAAATGTGTTTCTGTTCTGCCAGACCTTTACAGTCACTAGTTTGTTTCACAACCCTTCAGATAACAAGTACACAATTCAAAGCCTCATTTAGTGACAAATTCTTATCAACCTGCAAGCTTTTACATCACAGCTTTTACACACTTTCTCATTTGCAGTGTTGCTTTCCCATTTCCCAATGGCAGTTACTACAATTCATGGTAAGTAACAGTGTTACAACACGGGCTGAGGACAAAGTTGGATGAAGAATCTCCCCAGCACTTTCATGATGCTTCACACCTGGGTCTACCCAAAGCTGAGACAGTCCTTACCTGGCTAAGGCTGCTCTAGAAGTAAATCTCAGCATATTCAGTGGGAGATAATCACAAACAAACAACTCTTACAAACATTTACAAAGAACTCAAAAGACAACAGGTTTGTTTCTTGCAAATAATTTCAGAGTATCCCATAGAAAGCTTTTGCGTGCTCATCTGGACTCTTTTCTCCACAAACAAGCAATATAAAAAGCCTTAACATTTTCCTATCAGGGCAGACGTGAGATTTCCAGAAACCAAAAATTAACTCAGATCTTGAAGACTCCGAACATCAACAAAGCCACAGTTGCATCACAGTCTTTTGCAGCAGGAGAGGTTTAAGATATCCACCTACCCTGAGTTGTTCACTTCAGCTCAGGCATCACCTTTTCCTGTCTCTGTTCTGTCTGCTGCCTTGATTGCAGAAGCACAACTGCTCGTTGAGCTGTTCTGTGAAAGACATTAAAACACTGAGCTGACTTTCTCTTTCTGCACAGTCTGTTTAAGTCAGTTTGGTCCCCTGACCTATTTCACAGAGCAGTACCACCTGTATTTGTGTCAACACAACATCCTGAAGTTTTGGAAAAAGTGGGAGCCTCGTGCACTGTCTCATTATGTGCTGCTGGAAGCACTTGTACAGCTGAACAGAAAACTGCATTTGGGTTAATGCACATTGTTTGCCACTGCTCTCAAGTCATAGACAGGTTGTAAATTCTGGAAGAACAGTTGTAAGTTCTGAAAGAAGAGCAGCACTACTGAGCAGCTGAATAATTGGCTATTCTGAACTGGAAGCATTAGAATTTCAGCATTTATGGCAACATGCAGATTAGAATTTACCCATCTTAGAAGATCTAGGATTCATTAATCACAGAATATTCTGAGTTGGAAGGGGTCATCGATCTGAAGCACCAAGTATTGAGACTTTATTCTATTTAAACATGATACATTAAGTGATGGAGTATCTTCTTCAACATTTGTCAGGTGATGACAAATGCTGCTGTTTGTAGCTACAAGATCCAGACTTCCAGCAAATGATTTTGGAATCTCAAGGGACCCGTATTCCTGTCATTCAGTATTGTTATTAGCTCATTAAAATCCTATTTCACTTTTTTCTCACAGTGCAAGTGCAATTCTAATATTGCCCTCTGTTCATAAGAACTTAGGATCTAAAACTAACTACTCATTTACTACATTCCCTCATCTGAGAAATAATTAAGTACAGAAAACAAAAAAAAATTGAACATTTTAAAGTTCTATTTTCACAGTGTTTGAGCAGGAAGTTTCATCTTTCTTGACAAATGCTACTGCAGTTTAACCCCTGACACAGTAAGCTACAAATTTGATTGTTTCATTAACAAATTACTTTTTTTCACAGAAAGCATCAGTGCAATAAGAGGGCTCCTGAGATAAATGTGACTAAGCAGCAGGAGTTAATTAAGTAGGACAATGAGTAAGCATTTATGGGTGTGATACGAGACTCAGATGATTTAATTGCTAGTCTAATTATCAATTAGAGAATCAAGAAATGGCATGTAAGTGAAATACTCCATTTGTTGATACTTTAATGATTTTAGAGACCCAGAAGAGCAGTATTAATTGCTATTTTAGGACTACTGAAGGAGTTTTTCTTCTCCTCTTACTCAAATAGAGTAATGACTAATAAATGTATATAGTCTTCTCATACTTAAGCATTTAAGGCCTTTAGATCCTTCATTCTATGAAAAAAAAAGGCTAGTAATTAAGCATTCAAACACACTGCCTATAAACCACTCATCTTAAGTCCAAACCTTTCTGAATTTATTTTGTAATAAGGATAATAACTGCCCATGGTGTTAGAGAGCCCCATTAACTATTTACAGTGTTTGCACAAGTCAATCTCCAGACAGAAAGAAAGAGGTCAGGGAACTATTTAAATCCACAAGGGCAAAGAGCCAGTTGGCTGCACTCATTGTTGAAATGGTTTATAAGGAACTGCAAGAAATTAAAATTACCAAAAAATTGATGGAGAGCCAAAAATATTAATGTATTGGAACACAGTGGACTCTTTACAAGCTGTAAATATTTTTTGGATTGTCACATAGAACCCATAAAGCGTGTTGAGGTCTTTCTCAGAACTTCTATTGGAGGCATGTAGCTCATAAAGAACATTTACCAGAAAAAGAGATCAGAAAGACACTGTATGTCACAGGATTGATGTTGTGTCCCACTGAAATTACCAAAAGATAGTGTTGGTGTGTATCAAGAGGAACCAGGAATAAAAAACTGGGGAGCAGGAGCAAACACCCATCATAGCACAATACACTCTGAGCATTGGGCATGTTGACAAGCTGATTAACAAAATAAAAACCAACGTCCTTCAACTATTCCTCATGTCCACTTCAAAGGATTAAAAAAGTTCAAGCTTTTGGCTGTTGGACAACTCCCTTTGTCCAGGTTTAAAAGAGACTCTCAGCTCAGTGTTCAGTTCTCCGCTGCTGAGGGGAGCCCGGCTAATCCCTAAACTAAGAGCTCAGACAACACCTCTTCCTTTGACACACGGCTGGTTCCTCAACCGAGGTACCAACTTTTCAGCAGTTTAACCCAAACGTGTTTTCCTACTAACGTTTAAAAAAAAAAAAATAATAAAAAGAAAAAATAAAAAAAACGCATCAAAAAAAAGGCGCACAAAAAAAGACGCCTCCTCCCAAAAAAAGACGCACAAAAAAAAAATTTACCGAAAACACCAAGCGCGCTTCCCGCGGTTTCCTGAGGTGCCTCAACAAAACACGGCGTGGGGAACTGACACTTTTTCCCCTGAGATACGGCCGTGTTGTCACAGGGGAGCGGCCGAAGGAGCAACGCCAGACACAGTCCACCCCTCACGGAGCGCTCGCGCGCTCCCCGCCATTTTGTGGCCACCCCCGGCAGCGCCCGCCCCTCCCGCCATGTTGTGACCGCCCACACGGGCACCGCCCCCCGCCGCCGCTGCCCCTCAGCCCCCGAGCGGCCCGAGCGGGGCCCCGCCGGGGCCATGGAGCCCGGCAACTTCATAGCGCGGGACAACTACTGGTAACGGGCCCAGCGCGCCCCTGGCAGCCGCCGCTTCTCCCCTCTCCTCCTCCTCCCGCCGCCGCCTTGCCCTCCCCGCGGCCGCGCTGAGGCGCGGGCTGAAGGGGTTGTTGATGAGTTCACGTGTGTTTGAAGACTGTGCCCGCTTTCACAAGCGCGCCTTGGTAAAAAAATCGAGGTTTTTAGAGCTTCCATCCCCCGCCGCGTGTGGAGCATCGAATCAGTCCACAGTAAATGAAAGAACATTGCAGCTTATTTTTCATCCTCCTCCACTTCCTCACACACTGCGTTCACACGCACTGTTTCAAACCTGTGGAAAAAGTTTTCCTGTTGCCTCTGAGTCAGACAATGGTAACTAGCACATAAACTTGGTGTTATAAGTTAAGGTAATAAGGTAAAAGCTATTTTCAAGGTAAATATCTAAAGATTCCTGCTAAACCGCTGTGCTTTGTAGCATTAGTAGTTGTCTTTGTGCATTGGGTTTTTGGTTTTCAATGAGAGTTTTCAAAGTAATCTTTAATATTTCTTGGTTGGTTTCAGGAAAAAATGCGTCGAAAAGGAAGGAGATGCTGCAAAAAGATGGTCTGACAAATGGGGGTTCTTGAAAACACCTCTTGAGGAGGTAAAATTGAATGGCATGTAAGCAACACATGAAATCTAACCGCACACAGATTTATCTGGACACAGAATTAGGAGAGCTCTGAAGACTAGAAATGTACTGAGTGTGCTTTGCTAAGCTGGGATCCGAGGTAGAACTGCACTGGGTTCAAATACTCAGTTTTCCTCTGAATAAAATAACAGCAAGTGGTAATTTATATGCTGTGCATATTCTGATATATTTCTCTTGAGAAACATGACTCCTAGTAGTGTTAACAAGTACTAGATGCACACTGACAGGAAAATATTTCCCCTTTGTCTATCCATATGGTAGTTTAAAAATCTAGGGGAAAAGGTTCCAGCTAATTAAATTGTCAGTGGGGGAATTTACAACAAACGAAAATATTTGGAGCGATGTCTCTTCTCAGTGATGTTATTAGAATATAGTAGCACATAATGTTCCATTTGGAATCACAGTACTTCATTGCTAAAGGACAGGATTGATGCAGCCCCTGCATGGTTGTAAGTGTAGAAGTAATCTGCTCTAAGAGTTTTAGAAAATCCCTGTAGGCATCCAAATTAGCACCTTTGAAACCTGGTCCTCATGGTTTCATTATCCATCCTGGGTGACTGTGGTCTGTGACACACACCAGCTTTGCACAGTTGCTATTGGTGAATATGTGTATTTAGCATCTATTAATCTTTGCTTTGTAATCATATAAGACATATGTACATATATAAGATGTATTTCTAGCTCTTTTTGGACCCATGATGTAGCAGCAATATTTAGCCTTCCACCTGAAATTCAGAATTACATCACCTTCTGAAACAAAAACAATCCAGTAATTTCCAAAGCACTGAAATAAGAGCTTGAGATGGAAAGAACAGGAAGTTCCCCTGCAACGAGGGGAATGGTGTGGATAACACAAAGAGCAGTAAATTTCAAATTATATAGAGTCCAGAATTTAATTATGTTTTGGGTTTAGTTGATAGGAGATGAAAAAAAAGATGCAAAGCCCAAGATAGAGCTTCCAGAACACATGCGGATTCGCCCTGTGACACCTGTGGAAAAATACATTAAGGTTAGAAAATTACATTTTAAATTGTAATACAACAATATCTCTTGTAAGAAATCACACAGGCTCTAAAACCCAGTTGTCTTGTAGAGGTGGGTCTTTAACTAAAGGTCAGAGTAAACTGCATTTGCAACCCGAGCAATGCTTTAAAAGCATTTGTTTAAGACAAAGAATTGCCCTTTGGATATGGTTGTAATTTTTCTACCTTTATTTAAGAGAGTCTTCTTGTTGGCATAGACAATGCCACTGTCCTCTTTAGTGGCACAAATTAATAGGAAGTCAGTTCTAACGAGCAAGGTAATAGTTATTTGATTTTATATTATATGATTTATATGTTCAGTACCTTGACGTTATCAAACAGCTGGAAAGGACAGTAGAATGTGAAGGTTTAATTTCTAAATATACTGTGTGAGAATCGCCAATGAATAGGGTAACTATACAGGCAGCTAAAGCAGTGACATTGGGAGAGGAATATATTCATAGAAGGGTAAGGAGGTGCTAACAAAAAAGGTTAGTCCACTTAGAGAAGATTAAGGAAACAAAGGAGACTGGAAATTCTTACTTGCTGAACCAGCTTTCTTTCAAAGGATTCCAAGGGTGGGAAGATAAGGCAAGGAAGTTGTAAAAGCTTTTACTGAGATTAAACTGAAACAAAAATTAAGTGCTAGTGCTGAGTGCGGCAAAGCAATGAAATGGCATCATTTCTGCCATCAGTGCTACTTATTGTTCAGTTTGTAGACTCTCAAACACCAATTTTAGTGAAGTTACAGTTTCAGTCCCGTTTCAGCAGTGAGGGGTCGGGGTGTTAACAGTCACCCACTTGTGAGCTGCTCAAGCACCGGGCAGAGCCTGGGGCACACTGAAACAGGGATCAGAGCTTCATTCACCTCGGCATTTGGAGGAAGATCAGGGTTAGCTGTGTTTGGGTCACTCTTTACATGTTCAGAGTGAAGTTTCTCACCTCCTTTTTCAGAACTATGTGTCTTTCTGCACATTTACCTTCGTGGTAATAGTCATCCCTCTTCTCCTCTCTAGGTCAGAGTAGTAAAAGCTTTTTCATTGTCCCTTCCCCCAGATCGAAAGTGGGACATGATTCCCTTCATTATCCTGCTCGGTGGGTGGCACTTTTGGCCATAAAAAATTATCTTTTTTGAGGAACTGCTCCACCTAAATATCATAAACGTTTTCTAATCTTGGCCAAAGAACAAAGTGAAGCAACTCTGGCAAGAGAACTGAAACATTGTTCTCTTGCTGTGTATTGCTCTACTGAGTCCCCAGATGCTAAAATGATAGAACGTGCCCAACAGAGATGATTCAGCCAAAGTAAGCACAGCAGTCACTGAACAGACACTGCTGGCTTTTGTTTCGTTTCCTCCTTAGCTAGATTAGTTGCAGATTAACTTGCTGCTTACCCATCTTTTCAAGTAGAAAGAAGGTGGAATGAGTAAGTAGTTCTTGATGCAAAAGCCAGCTCAGTCAGAAACATCTTTAGCATTTGGACATAAAGTTATTATTCCGTGCCTGCATTGCTACCAAATATATTACAGCAACTAGAAAACACTATTTCTCCTGTTTAGAGAAATTAATTAAAGATGATTATGATAATGATGATGATTATTCTGTATGGAAAAAAAGCTAAAGACAAAGATAAAATTCTTCTCCTAAGAATATAAAACCACTAAAGCCCTTAGGATTGTACCAAACTTTAAAAAAAGAATGCTAACATACACTACTAAACAATAATTTGCTTTTTGGTTTTAGAAGGTGGTAAATGAAAGTTAGTTGCCTTGTTGGAATTTGGCCCTTGTAGTTCTCTCTTTCCCTGTGTCTTGCTGTAGAATGGCACCTAAATTATTCTAATTAAATTATAAACTATCATCAAACTTGCATGCACCTGGGCTGTCTTTCAAAATTTTTGTTTCCTTTCATTAATGCCAATGTTTTCAAGATATTAACTCAGCAAATTCCATTTGGAACCACTGTTTTTTTATAAATTCTCGTTTCCATCCACACGACAGCACAAAAGATGATGTCGCATGACAGCAGTTACCATCACAAACCCTTTCATCATTCAGCTTTACATGGGCCTTTTATTTTAGGTGCTTCCATCTCCTCCAGTGCCTAAAACCACGCAGGGATTCATTGGCTGGAGATCAGCTGTGCCCGGGCTGGAGCTGGAGATCGATCATCAGATCCGGAGCTGCAAAGGAGCCCTCTGCAGGAGTCTGAACTGAGCCCGGGGGCCTCGCTGACAGGAACCAAGGATTAGGCACACAGATCCATTTGCAGTCCTGGCTACACATCCCACGGTGGACTGGTGGACTGTTGAATATTTATGCTTTACACGTGATTTATGTAAACATCCCCAATCATTTTGGTAAATGTATTTTCATGGAGCATTTTGCTTGTTAGTGATTATTTGAAACCTGTGGCATCCAAGGTGTTAACTCAGCTTCAGGTTTACTTCAAAATAACAGTGAATACACTCAGATAAAGGTCACAAAGCAGGTACTATTTTTATTTGCATTAATAAGACTATAATTTAAAAATACTTATTGGAAGTTGGAATGACAGAGCAAATTTTTTAATTGTTTCTCCATGAGATCCTCTACTCCTACTCAGTTTCACAGCATTCTTCAAATATAAATACAGACTGCTGTGTTCCTGACAATCCAACTGTACTGCTCATTCCCAATTCATCACTTACCACTGCTGGAATCTGTGTTTAGAATTAATTTTCCATGAGCACTGACCTGGCCCACTGTTGAGTTCTCAGGTGCCTCTGCTGGCACAAAACCATCTCTTCTGTACAGAGAGGATGAGAAGATGCAGAGGAGGGTGTCAGGCACGACTTCAGTCGGCTCAGGCTGCCACGGGACTGCATCCTTGAGTTTGGAAAGAAGCTTTCCTCATTAAAAAACAAAACACAGCAAACAACCAAAAAACACCTGCAGAAAAAAACAATTATTAGGCTTCATCACAGTGTGTCCACTGGAGCTTGAAAAAAGCACACAAACCATAAGTGTAGTTAAGTCATAATTATAAAATACATTGGGGTTTGTATTGTGTGCTCTTTGCAGGTATTCTGTGTAGTTACACACATAAGTAATTGAGTAGTTCCCAGTACACAAATAAAGTATGCAAGGGCCACAGTGACACGAAGTCACTTTGAAAAATCAGTTTTGGTATCAAACCAGGGGTTTTTTCAATTAGTTGATCAGAATGCAAATGGGTTACAAGGCATTTATGTCACTTCAGTTTTGTGTGTACCAATATTTGTCCCAGCCAGGACAGGTCAATACTCAGGAACAGCAGAGGATTGCACTGGGAGTTACTGGTGTAGCTCCCCCGTGCTGTGGAGATCAGTCTTGCACTTCGTTCCCTGCAGGTTTGCCAGGATTTTTGGAAAGTCGGAGGAGACTCCATTGCAGCAGGATGTAATTCTAACTGGCCAACATGTTTAAACTAGAAGGTTGCTTAAACAAAAAGGAGCCTCCAAGAAGTCAACACAGGCAGCTCCTTCTAACTCCTTGTTACTTAAAGAGGAAAGATTTTGCTTTTCAATCCTGCTGCAGGATCTCCATTGTGTTCTCCAGCCATCAATAGCTACCTCTTGAGTCAGCACTAAGTGCTTGGCTATCACAGCAGTAAGTCAGCAGCCAGTGTTTGTTCTTCCCTTCTTCCCAAGAAATGACTCACAATGATCAACAGCCCACCTTTTTTTTTTTTTTTAATCCAGTTCCAAATGCCCACAAAATAATAATATTTTACTTTTTCCATATTCTTTACAAATAATGGAGAAGTGACTCATATCCTTTGGAAGGATTACCCAAGAATGAGAACACATAGCAGGAGTAACTTCAGACACGTTACTTAAAAACCAGAATAAAGAATAACTTGGAATCAGACTCTGGAAATTTAAGCTAAATTGCAGTTTAGCTACTAACCATAACCTGTTTAAACTGTTCTTTGAACAGCCAAGATCATTGTAAGAACAGTATTTTAGATCAGTGTGCTTTCTTGTCATTGCCAGGTTTGTATCTCTTGCTTATTTTAATCATGTGGTTCTTCAGTTTATTTTAAGATAAAAAGATCCTCTTATTGCCTGATTTATATAAACAGGTATAATAATGATTGGTATGTAATTTAGTAACAACAAAATTACATTAATTCAGGCCAAATGAAAGGGGAACTTCAAGACCACTGGTTTTCCCAGAGTTGTATTAAATAACCAAAGCTGGCACCTGATATCCAGTGGGTGTTTGTATGACGTGAAATCCAAATGAACCATGGTTAGATTTTGAAAACCAAAATAAATTCTTTGTCCAGCATCTTCAGTTGGAGATTTCTGAATCTTATTCCTGATGTCTGAATATTAACTCTGTACTAATAAGGGGGTTTTTATTATACATTCTGCCATTTTAAGGTACCTTTACTTCAGGACATACTTTGATACAGCCTAATTTGGGATGTGCAAGGAGTATTGTCTAAAACTGGAACTCATTCCTCTAGCAGAAATATGTCAGTTGTTAAGTGCTCCATGCATTCAATGTTTTGATGTTATGTGAAACTATAAACCTCAATATTTCTTTTCTCAGCACTTTCAGTTTTACCATTATACCTGAAAAAATTGTGTAGAAGTTGTAGATTTGCAGCTGACAAAGGACTGCCCAGTCATCAGCCCCACTGAGAATCCTAAAGGCCAATACAGAATTGTTACATCACCTTGTAATGTTTCAAACCTGGCCTTTAATTTGTGGAAATTAACCTGTTTATGGGAGCCAAGTTGGGCACAGAAATGTCACTGCACACCGTAAAATATCACACCATCTCCAGGGTCACGACAGTGTTGGTAAACTCAGTGCACACACCAGCAAATGCTTCAAAACGAAATGAAACAACTTCAGAAATGCAGCAAAAGTCAAGAAAATTTTAATTCTGTATAAAAATCATAGACCCAGAACAAAAATGTGCAAACAAGGTGCCAGTATATTCAGATGTCTCCTGTGCTTCAACCCAGCTTCCATTTGGTGTCGTCTCTCGGGCAGCTCTCGGTGAGCACGGGGGGCTGCACAGTGACTCCTCCTCAGCTGACTGGACTTTGTCAGGGAGCTGAAGCCAGCTCGGCTTTGGAGTGTTGTTTTCAGATGAACTGGTTCTTTGGCAGCAGACTCCTTTTACTCTGGATGGTGCTTTCAGAACAGCATACACAAAAATGTGACCGGATTTGATCCCCAGTCACCACAGCAAGGCATGGAAACAGGTCCGGCACAGCTCCTGCCCCCATGGCTGTGTGCCTGCAGATGCTTTCCTGGCTTCCTGGTGGAATAAGAGCAGAGGCTTAAATGACAACATATTTAAGCTAAAGAACTATGAAATCAGAATTATCTTTCTCACAAGCATTTATATTACAAACAACAAAATTGGGTAACAAAAACCTGGTGTGTTTTCCTTCACAGTGTGTTCTTTTCTGTGCTGTTAGAATTGGCACAGAACTGGCACTTGCTATTTATAAATTCATTAAATAAGATATTTTACCAGGAACTCAGAGTTGAACGATTATTATTTGTTTAAAATGCATTTTGCACCAGAGAATAAAGATTTTTGATTAGATGATAGTTGAAATGGTGATTCTGAATAAGTAGCACTCAGAATGCAGTGTTGCTGTACATTTTGAAAGAACCCAAATGAAAAGCAACCACAGGATGTGCACAGGCAAGTGATGCAGTGTCTGTACAAGGTGAGTGCTTGGAGAATAATCACGGTTCTGCAAGAGACATTTCTACATTTCTCCAGTTACATGCTGTGACTGTCCTAATGATCCCCATTGCACTCCTAACTCCGAGCCCAAATTCCTGTCTCCAGTTCCTGCTATTGGCTGCTCTGTCAGCCTGAAGTAACTCCAGTTCTGAGACTGCCTTACAAAACAGAGGATTTTAAAAACCTTTTTCAGAGACCTGAGGCTCCCCATTCACACACGATATTTCCCCCTTTAGTGAAGGATTCATTGTGGTTTCTTCCACATTCTACAAAGTACCAAAGTGACAAACATTAATCCAACAGGGTCAGTGACACCTGACCAGAAATGCTGCCCCAAGTGAATCCCAGCCCAGGGCACTTCTTGCACTGGGTCCTAAACGTGTTGTGTTTTCTTCCCCAGGTAACCATGTCCCTGTAGCAAGACAGACAAGACCCACTCACAGACTACTACCTTCTTCCTGACTCCTGTGGTTTCCACATCCCAGCAAATTGTTCTTTGGATAGTTGAAAGCATGTCAGACCATTTCACAGGACCACACTGTAATAAATTTAACTGTGCTGGAAAATGATACTGTTGTGCTCTGAAACTGGTCGGGTTGCCAGTGAACAAAACATCGCCCTCAGTCTGCTCTGTCATACACAGCAAGGACTAAAGTACTGAGAGCTAAATGTAAAACAAAATCAGGAATGCTGGGAAAACAACTATCCAAATTTTCAATCAAACGCGGGCAAAAACTGAGTTCACCCACCCGACATTGCCAAAGGACCTTAAATCTATTGCTGTTCAGTGTCCATTGCAACATGGAGGCAAGCTACTGTTTTAGGGACTTTTAAATTTGTATATATTCGATTGTTTCGGAACGGAGAGAAGGGATTAAATCAATAAATCCGGAGTCCAGGAAATGCCTGGCAATAAACACAGTGAAATGCAGTTTTACCATTTTTTCTGTGAGGCAGCTCACGAGGTTCTCTTTCAAGCTCCCTCATGTGATACCCTTGTCCTGGTTTAGGTGAGCTGCACTCTGCAGTTACAAAGTTGAAATCTGGCTGTAATTTTGAAGCAATTAGTTGGTTCAACATGGTTTTACCAATGGAAATTACACCTTGGGGTTGCAGGTTTTTTATGTTGCCCAAGTGACTCCACTTTGAATTTGGCCCCGTCCCTCATATTTCCCCCTCCCTGCTTTATCTGCTTCCCTAAAGAAGTGAAAATAAACGTGAAGATTTAAATAAATCTGAGAACTTCAAAGCACAAAACCAGACACAACCATGAAGAAATAAACAGAACAGAGTTCTTCATTCCCTACCCATCCTTTTCAGTGCAGCGGCCCCACTGACACCAGATTCCCTGGATGCAGCTGAGGGCAGGATCAGGCCTTGCAGGTACCAGGCTGGGATTAAATGTGGGCACAACAGCTCTGATAACAGCATTATTTAGCATCTAACTGTGGGGAGTGTAGAAGTGGCCATTTTCTTTCTCTGCTTCCTTGATAAAGGCTCTTTATTCTTTTATCCATTTTTGTGTCTGCTTTCCACAAAGATCATTGTTACAGAGAACAGTCTTGCACCACCACAAGACACGGCAGCTTCGCCCCCCACACTTCTGTCTTGGCTTTTCCCGGAGATGCCTCCAGGCTGCCGAGTGACACCCGGCTGATGGGTCCTGCTGAGAGCTCAGCACAGCCCCGGCTCCGCCTGACCCAAACCTGACAATGCCTTCGCACTTCCCGCAGCCTGGAAACAGCCCCCCCTTCTCCTCCCGAAGTGAGAGACGGTTCATGCTTTTATTCCTCACCGGGGAGCAAGACGGACCCAGCTCTGCTAGTGAATCTCCTCTGCTTGCTGACACGCGTCAGACACAACATTCTCATCCTTAAAAGCTGGAGCAAAACCAGAAACAAAACAAGAGCCCAAAAAAACCCCAGTGAGCTCCAGTCCCTGTCTGGAAAAATTAAACAGCCATTATGCTCCTATTGCCAGAGCACAGTCATGTCCTTTGTTTCAATGAAAGCTGAAGTAATTTCTTGTGCTCCCATCACGTGCATTACAGCTTCCATCTTAACATTATACTGCTAATGAACAAGCCCCACGTATTTACAGTCTCTCAGGAGAAGCCAAGATACAACTGACAGGCTGGTGAGGGAGCATGGAGGGACAGTGTTTATTATTTTGTTCTCCAAGAAGAGAGAATCCATAATAATCCATAACAATTTGAGTTATTTATGTGCAAATGAGAAAACTTTCACCAGCTCTCACCACAGGTCTGACCAAAACAGGTCTTTCACCGTGTTTGTTTGCCCTTCTAGTTTTTTTTTCAGTAAGAGTGCTGAGAAAAATCAGCATTTCACTGGGATAGGCACTAGCAATGGACCGCTTGAGACTAACTCCTTCACCTTGGGCCAGCACTGTTTAACTTGAGAGGGAACAATCTTCTTCATACTCAATAAATCACAATTAAAGTGTCCTGCATGCACATAGGAAGTATATTTTGCACTTAGAGGACTCAAGGAGGAGAAAGGATTGCCTAAATCTGCTTTTAATTCTCCTTTCATTCACACTGTTGGAGTCACTGCTGCTCTGTCATTACCTGGCAGCAGTACCAGGCTGGTTCTGCTGGGCAGTCAGACCCTGCACTGCTGTGTGCCCATCAGCTCCTGAGGCTTTGTGGAACACAGAAGACACCAAATCACATAAATGCTGCCATTATTTGGAATATGTTTTTCATTCATTTCACGTGTGTGTTTGGCACTGGTGCTGGAGCTGTCCTGGAGCCCAGTAAGGCACAGGCAGATAATGGTCATGGATGTGTAAAAGCATCTCCAAACCCCGGGAGGCAGATCTGTTTTGGAAAAGGGCTCTATAATGATCATTTACACAACTTTTATGTGGAGAGGAGAAGTAGATAAATACACAGCACTGCCATGTAAGCAATTGTCTCATTCTGGATTTGGAGGTGTTTGAACAGATTCAGAAACCACCTCTGAATTCTGTCTGAATGCTCTGGTTAGTTGTTACATGGGCATTAACTAGCTGTATTACATCACAACACCTTCAAATGGTTTTTATTTTTAAAAAAAAAGGCCAGAGGCACAGAAGTTTCTGTGTTTCTGACAGCCTGATGATGACAACACAGTAACTCGATGTGGTGCTTGATTTTGGCTCAGACAGGCTCAGGTCAGGGATGTCTGATGTGCCATGTGGATTAATTTTAAGCTCTGATCACGATTCAGGACTGGAGTCCAAATTCAGACCTTTAAATGATACCCCACAGGATCCTTGCTTTCTCCACAAAGCTACAGAGGGAGCCTGGGCAATCAGATCTTATCTCTAGACTTCAAAGGCTGTTGTCAGAAATTAGTCAGTGTGGATGAAGCCCTTCAGGGCCAGACGCCAGGGCCTTACAGGAACACACAACACTGGACTTGTTCCTCCTGAGCCACACTGACTGTGCTGACCACTCACCCTCCCCTGCATGGAACAAAACTAAACCAAAACCGTCCATTTTTTCCCCAGCAGATATTGAATTACCTGTGGAATACAATGAATCTCATCCACACAGCAGATCTGCCAGGTGTCGAGATGGCACAGTCCAGAGGCACCTTTGTACAGAGAAGGGGGGAATGCCTGCAAGTCTCCCTTCTCTCCCAGAAGGGAGAGACTTGGGAAGCCACTGTAATGGATGGTTTATTTGTTTGTGGTATTGATTTATTAATTACTTACATGCTAATCATTAATCAGCATCTGGTGTGCAGGCAGTGCAAGAGGTCGGACAAGGAGCCAGGCAGTGCCTCACCCAGCACCCTGCCAGCACTTCTCCAGAATTCCCAAGAACCCCGAGTTGGCTCAAACACCAAACAGGCAGGGGAAGCAAAGTTCAGCCCAGGAGGGGCTTTAGAAATGCCAGCACTGTGCAGTCCTTGGGCTGAGCCCAGCCCTGCAAACGCTCCTGGCCAGCCCAGGGAGCGCTCCCCTCACGGCCTCAGGTCAGAATTTGGCTCAACACATGCAGAACATGTTTGGCTCATCACACATGTGCATATTAAGTCCACATTCATCAGCAAGGGAACAGAGAGACAATATCTGGTAAAATACTGGAACTGTACTTCAAAGATCAGGATGCAATTCCACGGACTCCCAGGGTGACTTTGGCCACAACAGTCACCTCCTCTGCTTCAGCTCCCATCTGTAAAAAGCAAAATAACCATCCCTCATTTTTACTTCACCCATCTTTGCAATTTAGACTCAAGAGTTCTTTGTAGTGGTGTCCCTTTCTCAAAATACACCCAGCTCCCAGCACACAATGTCCTCCTCAGAACAGGCTTATGGAAATGTATCAAAAAAAAAAAAATAAAAAGAAAAAAAAGGAAAGATCCTTATAAAATATCCACTGATGAGATAAGACCACCAGCACAACAATGCAGTGAACAGCTGTAATCTGTGGGAGGATTATTTCTCTTTGCCATAAATGCCATCTAATTTTCAAGACAAGTTATTCCCTTTCATAGAACAGTGAACTCAGTATCTGCAGAGAACTTTCCTTCCCACCAGTACATTTTTCAAAGACTCCCAGTAGTTTGTGACATTAAATAGAAGGTGTCACATCTTTATGACAAATATTAATACTAGTCTGCTTGATTAACATAATTTGTTTCTTCACTGGACATTTTATTCCAGATGAGCTGCTTTTCATCCATCCATATTTTCTAGGGGAAAAAAAATGCATCCTGACATGCAATGTTAATGTGCCCTCTGAGATAACCCCTTATCTCCAACTTCCCAGCCTCACCTCCCCTTCTCTGCAGTGCATCAAATGAGCTTTAGCAGCAGCTCTTGGTCAAGGCTCTCATGCACTGGACACCTGCCAAGGCTTTTGGGGTGTTTAGCACAGACTAAAGGTCTGTTCCTATGACACACACATTTAAATTTAGCACTAAACTGGTGGGGAAAAATAGAGAAAAATATGTAAAATGTCACTTTCTGACAAGCAGAAAATTAGAATTCATTCCCCTGAGAATTAAAAGGACTTTTCTGCTTCCAGTCACTAACTATGACAAGGTTAACATTTTTCAGTCTAATGATGAAGGACATTAAGTGTGCATGTGAATAAGAAATAGAATTACTGGAGGGTATTAGCTAAGTGTGTGACAACAGCCCAAACTGACAACAGAACTCCAAGGATGCAGATTCCAGCTACTGCTGACTGTTTGCTGTGGAGAACTGAGGGATAACAGAAACGTGGAGGTCAGCCTTCTGTCACCACTGTTGGAACAACAGAAGCAGCCACAGGAAGATCCGTGTCTGGTGGGGGTAGGGAACATTTCAGAGCACATCCAGCCTGCTCCCAGAATCCTGGGCAGGGACACTCAGCTGGGCAGCACATCAGTGAGAGGCCACAAAACCCTGAAGAGACTCAGAAAAGGGAAAATTCCGAGTGCATCTCTTGCTCCCTCAAGGATTCTTTCACCAGTCCCTGTGATTTAATTCCAATATGACATGAGGATTAGGTAGGAAATAAAGTTGTTTGTGACTTGCTTTCGCTTCTGCCCTTCCCAGTTCAGTTTTCCCTGTAGCTCCTCACTGTCTTACTCAACTATGGCAAACTGAAGCTGTGGCTTCCAAACAATAATGGATTTTATGTGATGCAGCACCAAGCAGGGAGGACTCAAAGGAAAAGAGAAGTCCACGTGTTATTGCTATGCCCTAGGTGTTAAGATACTGGAAATTATCAACTATTGGGAATCTTTCTGGACATAAATGAAATTGGGGTGCTAAAAGGTAAGACAGGAAGATTATATTTTCAAATATCTAATTTCTTCTGAGGAAAAGATGTATAAAAGTGACATTTAGAGATACGGGCCAAGGTAGAGAAAGCACTTTTAAACAAGGACAGTTAATATGGTATCTGACAGAACAACAGAAGCTGCAAGGACACGGATGGACTTCCATGCACAGAGCTTTCCTTTTAGTGCTTCTACCTGTGACTGGGTTTCAAAAGCTACTTGGCCACAACTGAAAAAAAGGTTACAATTTAAGGGACAAATCAAATATTTAAAAAATTAAAACAACTAAAAAGAAGGAAAGAAAACCAGAAGAAAACAAGTACTTTCAAACCCACAGGATCTACCTCTACATGAGCCAACTGGAAGGATTCACCAATTTCTTTGCTTTCCTGTGGCTGTCAGGGTGCTCATTAGTCCAAAACAAAGCATTTTTTTATTTTTCTAGTCTGAAGTCAGTGTGATGAACTAACTATGAACTATTAGGCAGCTCAGTTACAGATCATGTTTCCTGTAACATCAAAAGCTGGATTCTCCTCTCTTCATCTGCAACAGCCAGAAGGTTTTTGCTTCCTCAAACCAGCCTGAGAGGATTCCTGCATGTTTTACACCAACAGACAAGGCCTGACTGTCCCTGTAATTCCTGCTGGCATGGCTGTATCCCCCCCATCCTCCTCCTTGCTTTGCTTGGTTTGCTCCCAGGAAGAGCCTTCCCCTGGTGCTGCACATGCTCGGATCCGTATCCACACCGCCCTCATTCCCACTGCTCTCCGATCACTTTTGGTCCCTGGCCTCGTGACTGACACTCCCCTACAATAAACTGCATAAACCATATCTGCCTGTAATCCTGATAAATCCAAATAATTTTGTTTTATTCCTGTCTCCCCGACTCTCCTGCCCCTCCAACTTCCTCAGCCTTATTTTATGCCATCAGCATATTTAAGGCACTTTTGAAATTACATTCTGCTCGAGGTCACTGCACTGAATTTAATTTTCCCCTCCCCAATGCTTTACCTCCCACCTGATTTATTTATACTGTTTATTATCAGAGACCAATTCAATCAATGAAAGCTGGAATTCAAACACACACACACATTTGAATTATGCACACAAACACTCACCAGGAGAGGGAACAGAACTGCTGCAGTCCACATCATCCCTCTAACACATGGCAGCTAACAGGTAAGGAGGCTCAGAGCCATCCATTTTTATACCTTGACTTCTGCTTGACCCCAGGGGTTGTTTGGCTACTGGAAACCAAAGGAATTGCAATAGGATTACAAATTCCACAGAGGAGGCTTGGCCAAGGGATCTGTGCATTTCTTACCCCAAGCCAGTAGAACTGTATTTTAAGAGGGGCTTTCTGAGTTGACAGTTCCTTTATTAGCTTCTGTTCACACAGGAATTCTAGAAAAACACCATCAACCCAGAGCAGACAGTCATGTCAAGCAAATGGTACAAACAGAACAGTGTATAGAGAACTGGAGCTTAAAGGGAAACCAAAGCACTGACCTCAATTGCAGCCTGGCTTAGGCATCAAACCAACCCAAACGGGCTGCTGGAAGCACAGGAGAAAATTAATAGCTTTTGGCTCCCCTCTGCAAACCACCTTCCTCTCTAAACGTTCCTGGTCAGCAGGATCCTCAGGCACAGCTCCCTGCCGGATTCTGGCTGCCTTTGAACGCTGTGGTCACAACTCAGGAACACTGCAAAGTCCAGAAATGAAGGCAGAGGGTTTTGCTGCAGATTGTGCTCTAGGCAGACCACCCTCAGAATGATGTTCCCCATCTGCAGTTCCTCCCATTTCTCTGCCCTTTACTCCCTACTCACTGCTCTTCCCTCTCCCCAGCACAGATTCTTTGCAACCATCTTTTATAAGCAATCACCCTCCCTTCTAATCTCTCTCCTGAAAAAGCTGTTTGTTTTTCCTTACTGATACCAGCTCCTGTGTCCCAGCAGAGCTGGTCCAGCCTGAGGTGTCAGGGATTAAATCAATGCCTCTGCACTCCTCGGGAATTTGGCAGTGGTAGAATTCACTGCTGCATCTTCTCTGGCCTATAGTTATGGGAGTTCCAGGAGTCTCTTGAAATTCTGTTTTAACATTTCACAAGTTATGCACAGAGAATATTTTGGCTTTTCTATCAATACATATCTGCTTGGTAACTCCCAGTTTGAATGCTGATTGTGTTTTGCATAAATTAACTAAATTGCAGCCCTTCTGTTTCATTGGTACTTTTTGTCTGCTTCCTTTATGAACAATGTCAGGGAGATTGCAAGCTGACTACCATTCTCTTTCCTAAGCAAGAGGAAAACAACATGTAAGAGCCCAATCAGTACCAGTTTCCTGATGTCTGTTGGGTTTTACAAGCTGTAAGTGCTCTGGCATTTAACAATTTATGTCCATTTGGGTCACTTTAAGAAGTGAATGTAAGGATTGCCAGTGTTCTGCACCACTGGTGTCTATTGATAAATATGGAACAGGTACAAAAACAAGCTTCTCTTTCTTTCTGCTCAAAAATTCCCTGAGCTAACAAGTTATATACCTCTACAGGCAGGGAAGTCCCATCAATAAATGGCTCATTGTAAAAGATCATCAGTTATTCCTGTCTCCAAGCCCACCTCAGCACTGCTGTGCTGAACACACTCCCCACCTCAAACACCAAATACACGAGGCCGTTTGGGGGCAATTCTGCGGCCTGGGAAGCAAGAAGGGGGTTTGCTGTGCCAGAGGAGGATTGTTCCAAGAGCATTACCATGTCTCAGGAGAAACTTGGCACTTCCCACACGACTTCTGTGCTGGCCACAGCCAGTTCCAGGGCAGCTCTGAGCACCACCCGTCCCTTGCTCTGCTCTGCTCCCAGGAACTCTGTGTGGTGCCTGTGAAGTCCTCAGTAATTCCCAGGTGGGCTCTGCAGAATAAACACAGACCTTTTAGTGCCATTCTTTTTAGGTATCAACCAAGGGGTGTTTGCACACTACATAAATCCCCCTGGATCAGCTACATCATCCCTGCCTGTCTCCTGTTACTCTGCCCCATCTTGATTCTCTACTCTCTAATGATATTTACTCTTAGCCGCCCCTTGGAGTGGACATTATTCTGGCTTTTCCTTTCACCTGCAGCTATTAAGTCCCACAAAATCATCCAGAAGTTGTTCCTTTTTGCAGTCCTTGACCTTCTCTTAAATGTATTGGAAGCTGACCTGAGCTTTTGGGGTAAGAGGACACACAGCACTGGCCACATGAGCCCAGACTCCACAGGAGGCAGCCAAGACTTTGGGCCTCAATTCCAGAGACAGCTCCTAAACCCAGGCTACCTGAGGAAACAGTCCTGTATCACATTCCTTCCCAGGAAGAGCTTTTTTTGGTAATAAACTCAAACATCAGTTCTGCAGTGTTGCTGAGAGGCCTCTTAGGAGCAATTGTCAGGTGTGCTCATGCTGCTGTTCCTCCTGCAAAACCATTTCCATGTTGGGCAGCATCTTCCACAGTGGTTTTCTCAGCTGTAAGTGGAAGCTGAATGGTTATTTCTTAAAAATAAAGAGGGGGAGTTATTTGAAAAAAAACCAGTGTCACCAATCTTTCTGTGGGGCTCTTATGCCAACACACCTTTTGTTTCAAAGAACCCTTTGTTCTTGGGGCACATCCTTCTGTTTCCTGCTTTACACCTGGTAGGGAGAACATTTAATACACAGGGATATGAAACAGTTTCTGCCTCTGATTCTCATAACATAGACAAGTCCCTTGGCCTCACAGGAACACCCAAGAACAGACAACCTCAACCTTCTAATGGTGTTTTAAGATAACCAAGAAAAAGGATTTTATGCATACTTGTGTTTCTCCCATCTATACAAAACCACCTGGATTAAGTATCTGGTTGAGAAAGTGAAATGTAAAATGGCAGACAGCTGAATTAAAATAATACAAGTATTTTCCAGCCATCAGGATAAGTTGAAGCACTTTTGGCACACTCACTTCAAGGAAAAAGTACAGGGAGAGCTAATTCACATCTCTGGATATCTAATGGATTTTTTTTTTTTACTGCTCAGTATGAAAAATTCCACATTCAGCCTTGGTCAGACACCTGAGAGATGTTTCATTATCCCACAGAATACACTCCCATCGCACCCATGACAAAAGCCGGTTACCACAAGTTGGTTTATAAAACAGTCACAGATTTATTGAGATAAATACAAATACAAAGTTACATAGATTCTTTACTCTGACAAACAAGAGACACTTCCAGAGTGTCCCCACTTAACCGGGTTCTAAACAGCACCGTGCACAGACACAGCCGAGCGATGCCACGGGGACGTCACACGGGGCACCAGTGACACCAGGGGGCTGGAATCCTTTGGATCACAAGGGCCTGACCATTTCCCACAGCATCCAAGCAATATTGCACCCACCACTGTCACTGCCACGTTCCTTAGCTAGAAATGGAGAGCTCTACTCTTACTGCTGTTGTGAAATTCTACCTTTGCTCCATCTGGCTTTTCAAATGCATCTCTTTGCATAACTGAAGAGCCCATCAACTCCATCAACACCCCCCTGTACCCATTGCACACATTTGTCCTGTACAAGACATAAAGTGCAGCCTTAGTCATGCTGAAACCACCTCTAGTTTAAAACTCAACCAAAAAGACAAACTTGTAGAGGGTAAATCTGTTTAACAGACCCGCACAGTCTACAAAAAACCCACCCCAGAACTGTGATGGCCCCCGTTAGTACATGCAAGTGTAAAGTTGCAAAAGGAGGTTTTAAAACACTCCACTGAAATCATATCGTTCAAAACTGACAGGAATTCGGGAGCCAGAGAGGTACCGGAATATTGTTAAAAACAAGGAGCTTTGTTTAGCCTTTTAGTGAACTTTTATGGCTGGTGGCTTACCCTTTACACACATTCTAGTTAAAAACTCCCAGTGAACACTAACCAAACATGCTAAAACATATGGAAGCTTGTGTTTTCCAGTGGATTATTGCAAGTCAAGGAAACTATTTAAGGTGATCCGACAAACAGAAACCCGGGTTGGGTTATGTTCAAGGTATTTAATTTATATACAGTATATTTCAAACATACTTACATATACACACACTTTAAAAAAAAAAATCTGTTCAGTGCTGAGAAATTTAATGAACTGATAATAAAAAACAGAAGTCAAACCTTGTCAGAAAGGCCTTAGAAAATCTGAACTGTTAGAAAATACCAGTATAATGCCAGCATTAGAAAAAGATATTAGAACTAGAAAAAAATAACTTGAGGGGTCTTTTTGTTAAGAAATAGCAATCATAAAAAGTCTGTACTGAAGAAGTATTTGTTTTAAATTATAAAAAAAACCTGTAAAAAATTAAATGTAGAACATTAAAGAGTTTACAGAGTTTACACTGTTTGCTGCAGTAGCAGTGGTATAGTTCTGCCTGCAGCTCCCAAAGAGCAGTTTGTGATCTCACAAGGAAATCACTTGTTACAAAGACTGTACAGATCATATAATACATGAGCAGTTAACTTACCCAAAACTGAGCCCTCCCAGAACACAGAACCCAGCTGAGGAACCTACTTGTATTGCAGACAAGCCCCACTCAAACCCAACCAAAACAGCCACTGCTGTAACAACCTTCCCCACGTGAACTCTGAGGGGAGACACCTACACAGGTCTGTGCAGGAGAAAGGACCCTCCTCAGCCAGCAACTGTCACCACGTGGAGCCATTTCTTTAGTATTCAAGCATTAGTTTTGGAACAGGATAGTTTCAATCCCCACTATAAAAATGGCTTTTTTTTCCCCCCAGGCCGCTCATTATTGCGGATTTGGGACCCAGGAGAAGACAGGGCCCAGCAAAAGTACTGGTTTTATCATTTTTCCAACTGTCTGAAGTTACTCAATTTTCCCAACACAACTCTGCTCCATCTGTGTATTTTTCCTTTCTTCCAAAGCCCCTGTCTCAGGACACAGAAGACATCCTGCCTCACCTTACCTTCAGTAACCTTCATTTGGGGTTTGCCCCAAACCTTCCCAAACAATCCACAGAAGTTACAGAGCAAACTGTGTCACACCTTTCCCTGGAACACTTCTGATCTGGGTGTTTTCAGAATTTAGAGGTCCTCTGTTTCTCAGGAAAAGCTGTTTGGGACTTAAACACTGGGCAGGTTGAAAGGTATTTGTTAAACCAGGTGAGTAAAACAAACAAACTGAAGCCTGTAACCTTCTGTAACACCCCTGTACAGACACAGGATGTGTTGCAGGAACTGAATCCCTCAAGTGACCTTTGTTGGGGCAGAACGAGGAACTTTCCACTTGGGAAATCTACAGTCTCCCTACCCCAGGAGAGTCAGCAGTAACACCAACTGACCTGTGAGGGTGGGCAAGAAATAACAGGGCTGTTGTTATGACTGTTAACATCTGTAAGAGTGTAGCTCAGAAGTAACAAATTAATGGAAATGTCACAATATACAAAGAACCTTGAGCTCTCTGTGCTTTGAAAAATATCACATTATATTAAGTAAAAATGACCCATGCCCTAATTCTAGCAGTGTAACTACTTTAAAAAATGAAATGTTTTATGAGCTTTTTCCACTGATACAGAATTCAGTTCATTAATTTTTTGTTACAATTCAAAACTATTCACATATATACACTTTTTTCAAATAAATGCAATAGCTGAAACAATACAAAAACCACAGTATAAGTGAAGAAAGAAGGGAAGTTTGTTATAATCAGGTTTTAAGATTCAGAAACCATTTTAAGCTTGTAGCAGCCTTGTGCTACTGGAAATGTTTTGTTAAAAAATGAAATGTGAATTCCAATTAACACTGAAACACTGAGTGTGGTGTAAGACTTTACAGATAATACTGAACTGCAGGTGAGATCAGAGTTATCACCCACATTTACAGAGGGAAAACCAGAAGGGATTACTCATGGGAGTCAAACAGCGGGGCAGAGGAAACGAGGTCATGAAACGAAGACAGGAACATTTCCTGCTCAAACAGGTAACAGAACCCACCTTATCTGCCCACATTACTCACACCAACACGACCACAAAGTGAACAACTGTCCTGCTGTTCAGCCCCTGCTGCAGAACAACTTGTTAGTTCTGTTTTTCAATGGTAATATTGTCCATGTTACCCTGTTTTAGTTTTATGGTGGCAAAGAAAGACACATCTTGATCTCTGTCAGATTGCAGGGCCAGAATGGTCTCTTCTGCAGCTTCTAGATGAGGATTGCCAACACTTTTAAAATAAGCTAGAATAAGGGAAGAAAAAAGACAATTTTAATCAAATCCAAAAGAACAAACCCTAGGGCATAAGTAGTGCAGAAATCCAGAGGATGCCAAAAACATCTGGGGTAGCTTATCCAATTTATAGTCTCCTTACAGAAACTACAGGAAGCCAAGGAAGCTGACAGAGAAGGAGAAATATGCTGCTTCTGACTCATCTTCTAAGGTACTTAAATACTTCTAAGATAAATTCTTTTTGCTGAGCCCTAAACAGAAATGTCTCTGAGCAAAAGCAGGCTCAGGAACCTGCCACTGTACAGTGCAATCCAAAACATTCTCCATACTTTATTTTGCAAAAAAGATAAGAGAGGAGATTTCTGTGCATCTTCCTTTGAATAATCAGGGATCAGCTGCCTTTTTTCTGTCATTTTTAAGGAATTGTAACACAGGAAACTGCAGCACGATGGATCCCAAACCCTGCAGCTGCCTCGGCCGCTGTTGGCGAGGCCACAGTGCCCCCAAGCGGGTCCTGCTGGATTAACAAAGCCACTTCCAGGCCCTCTAGGGATAATCATCCCATATTCCAAGGCTGCAAAGCCACTCCTAAAATTCCTAAATCTACACTCTCCAGTCCAAAGTTAAATGCACTATCCCAGAGTACAAGGTATGATCCTGTTTAACAGCCTTGCAATGAACTGAGCAGAGGAAAAGCAGCATTCCCGAGATGTTGGGCCTTTCCAAGGAAATTCGTGACCACACCTTTCTCCAGCAGTGTCTGCCTGAGGGCCTTGGCAAGCAGGACCCTGACGTTGGGCACGGGATCTGAGGCAAGGCTCAGGAGACTGGGCAGTAAGTGCTCCACAAACTGGTCCGCGGGCATACACTCCTCCTCCACCACGGCCTAGGGACAGACACAGCACAGGAAAACAAGATTTGTGTTAAAAATACACTATGTGCCATTTCTTTCCATCCTGTCCTTAATTTGGCCTATTAAAAAAAGCTCTGAACAATTACACCCTACCCTGTGTTGGTGAAATAAGCACAGCCTTTGAACTGCTGTTCTGATAACATGTCTTACTGTTCCAGAGTTCAGCCAAAGATGAACGAACAACAGCAAATTTCTTTCAAGTATATTTTAGAAAACGTTTCTCTCTTGGCTGTCATCACCCTTTTGCCTTTGAACATTTAACCCTTGCTCCTCATTGCTACTTAATTAAGCATTTTTGGTTTGGAGGGGGTGGGTAAGTGGCAATAAAGAGGGAAATAGTTCCTGGCATGTAGCACCCATTGGTAATTTGAAGAGCTCTTGTCACCCTTTATCCTTACATGACCAAATATTAAAATGCATCTCAGTTTGGGACTTAATTCTTGACTTTGCCACTGGGATACCAGAAGTCCAAGGCTCAGCTACTGCAGCTGGAGGCACAGCCCCAGACAAAGACACAGCTTTAGCTGGACCAGCCGTGTCAACCCACAAAATCAGAGCCCAAAAATGACAAAACAAATTGGGAGTCCAAATTCTAGTTTTTCCCCATGTTGCTGCTAAAGCCCAAACCAGCTCCAAATGAAACAGTACACACAGAAACAGAGAGAGAACGTTCCAACCTGACAAATGAAGGCAAAGGCTTGTCTTCCAACCCACTTGGAGCTGTGCCGGAACCGCACGACAAGTTCATTGATGAAATTTAACCCCAGCGCATTTGCACTGTTTGTGTAGAACTTCTGTAGGATTGCTACAACCTGGGGGGTAAAGCAGGGGGAAAAGGAACAAAAAGAAGAGATGAGACTTCAGTTGCAGCCCTTAGAGTTAAAAAAACCCCCATAATTTCATTTGAATTCTACAAGGGGACACCAAACACAGCACTGTCAGCTGTGCTTGTAGATTTTAATAAATTCCTGTGCTTATTCTGGAACAAGCCCAAGTTTTAGAAAAGCTGTTTGTTCACCTGAACCAAAAACCACAAGAATTAAAACCAGCAGTAAAATAATGCCCCTTTACAGGGTGCCATGAAGAAAAGGAAGAGATTGAAGGAATATTTCTACTCCTTCAGGACATCTATGGGATGATGGCACTGTCATGAACTTCATAACAAATTGAATCAACTTTGAGGAAAGATCAGTAGTTGGTTGTTCTGTGTTTTGTTGTGGCTTTTTCCCCCAGAACTGGAGGAAGCTCTTCCAAATCTTATACATACCAGCTTTCATTCAGGTGAAAAGATTTATCATTCACATACAACCACAGAGGAAGATTTTAATATCTGTGGCAGGGGGACAACTCAAAATATTTTTTAAACTTTTAATTTCACTCTTTTCTGTACTGTTCACCATATTTATTAAAACATGTCTCAATTCACCCTACTTGTCTGAAAAAACAGTGATTTCAGATACCCCTCTCCAGGATCATTTTCCTGCTCTCCTGCCAGAAGTGAACTCAATCCCCTACCAGTTTGAAGGAGATCCACCGAACTTCTGAGACTTTGTCAGAGCAGAGAGTCAGTGCAATGTGTCTTAGGTAGTCATAGACATCGTTGGGGTTGTAGAGCTCCAGGATCAGGATCAGCTGCCTGGAACACAAAGGAAATCATTAACTCTCCCAGCTGCAGCACCAGCCTGCTCCCATTCAGCATCTGTTCCACGTGGGGAAGGAGCACAAAGGTACCACAGTCACTACAGAGTCCCTGAGCAGTTTGTTCTTCTCTTCACACACTTCAATCCATCAGGGAGTCCAAGAGAAACTGTTACCCAAACTACACCTATCGATATATCAAAATTATCCCAAATAATAACAAAAGCTACAACCGTAAGTAAAACAAGAAGTTTCTTTTGCAACTTCAAACCAATAACCTGTACGTTCTTGCAAAGTGAAAACTGACTATTTGCCCCAGTGTAGAAATCTGCCTTTCAGATAATAATTTGTACCTGAGAAGCTCACAGGACTCACTGCAGCCACAGCACTGCCAGCACAGAACAGCAGCAGGTCCCCACTAGGGGTCAGGGCACTGCTGGGAAATGTCCTTGTTTGCTGTGCCAAACTACAGAGGGACAGCGAGGCCTCAACAGCCCAAACACACCAACACCTCCACCGTGAAGGTCAGACTCGAGTCCCAAACTATTCCTACGAAGGTGCTGCAAATATCAACAGGGCTTGTAGAGAAAGAACTGTGGGATGTTGTTCTACCTTCACTATACAGCCATTTAGAAGTACCAAATTAACCAACTTACTTTTTAAGAACTGTTTTTTTCTTTCTCACACATGAGAAAAATTACTGTTTCCATACATTTCACTGATTTTTGCAAGGGAGCCTCGAACTAAATAAATTCTGAGACCTCATTGAATAGTATCTATCAGATTGTCATATTTCATTAGCTGTCAGTGAACCAGATCTCCATTTTAGTGTAATCACAGACATTTAACTTTCAATCACACTTGATTACAACACAACTTGAACAAAACAAAACAAACAAACAAAAAACCCACCAAAAACCACACACACAAAAAAAAACCAAACCAAAAAACCCAAACACTCCCAGCTCCCCCAAAACAACCCTAACAGCCAGTGGCTTTTAAATTGAGTTCACTACTAAAGAATGGTTTAAATTTTAGCTCCCCAACAGAGGTGCTAACTTCTGAATGTAATTGCCTATTTCCAAGTTAGTAATACAGATTAAAAACCAGAAGTTAATAAGATTACATACTCTGCCAGCTCGTAACGAAACCTCCAGTTCCTGCTGTTATCAGTCACCACAAATTCCTGAAGCTGGTAAAGATATTCTCGCCTTTTGTCTGCATGAAGTAGCTAAAGGAGAAACATGACTAGTGTAAAACTGGGAAAACTCAATACTTGCAGTTCTCTGGTGTGTTGCTCTGTTCACACCTATGTGCATTTTCCTTCTTGAAAGCAAGTGATCATTGACAAGATGCTTCCTAAAACTGTGCACAATCAGCTGAGAGCCTGGACACACAAGACTGACATCCAAAAAAGTACAGTAAGGCACTCCTTTGGCAAGGACACCCATCAAAGCACCATCTCTGGGCACCAAAAACTAAGGATTTGTGTGTACTGCCCACCAGGATCTGCTCTCTTCTCTCCCACTCCCAAACATAAATTGCTACTGGGCCAACTTTCCAGTTGGACTGCCCAAAATACTAATTCCTTTACAACAGCCAGCAGCATTTACAACCACATTCACAAAGGGTTTTCAGTTTTGATGTTTTGTTGGGTTATGAGACAAAAGAGAAGTGAGGCACATTAAAAAAGGAATAGAGACACACACAAAATGGCAGCTTTGTACAAAACTAAACATTAATTAGATCCTGATACATGCAGAGCTCATTAGAAGACTCCTAATATAATGGAGTCAGAAAAAAATGTATATGAAGAAATGAATTGCACTTCCCTACCTTCAGGAAGTCATACAGATGTTTGAGGACACCGATCCGCACTTCATCCAGGTCTTTCAGGAATCCATTGAAAATTGGCACCAGATCAGCAGCTGTCAGCTGATCCCCCAGGATCACTGCCAGCTCGTGGATGGAGAAAGCCAGTGTCCGACGCACCTTCCACTGCAAACAGGGCAACAAGGGAACTACATCAGGCACCAAACTAAAACACACAGGCTTTTCAACTACACCTGTGAGGGGATCGACAGAGCAGGACAAACAGGGCTGGTTACACAGCAGTACCAAGTGTTAATCATACTTATGAAGTCTCATTTAAGTCTTAAATTTTGCATTTTTAGTGCATATTTAATCCCTTACAAGAAATTATATGATCTTATAATAACTTCAGTGCAGCAAAGCGAACCAAAAAGTTCCTCAAACTTCTGATTTATCACTACAAACCTTCTTTTTCTTTACCTGTACATCTGAGGCCAGTGTCTCGTAGGTGTCCTTGAGGCAGTGCCAGTTCTGCCTGCCCAGTGTCAGGGCCACCCCGGGCAGGCTGTAGGCGCAGTGCTTGGCGATCTCCGTGTCCACAGTCTGGGCTCGAGCAGGGTCAGTCATGGACAGGTACTGGTCCAGTAAGGGCTGAGGGATGATATCCTGTAGAGAGACAGGGAATCAGTGACACACATGGGAATTCAAGGGCAGGAAGACAATACACCTGTTGTGCTCCAGTTCTCTTGCTCCCAACCCGTCAGCAGCAAACAAAGCATAGCAAGGCACCCCTGGGTGGGGGACCTTCCCCAAGGGAACGACCCCAACGCTTCTTTCTCCTCTCTTTGGGACAGAGCAGTCAGGAAGGAACAGTCATTACTACTTTATCAACACACTGCATCAACCAAGCTGAAAGTTTCTTCTTGGCTGAAGACAAAGAGTAAATCAGTGACAACACAGCACAGTCAGTGCCTGCCTTGGCTGCACAGGTTGCCTCTAAGGCACCAAAAAGGCAACAGAATGTTTCTAATTTTCTCATTTAAAATAGGGTTCCCCTCAAATCCCAGAGCATTCCTTCACATTCTGCAACTGATCCCTTGCACATCACTGCATTAGGGGTAAGATGAACTGTATCCAGCACTGCACTAAAGCCATTAGATGCTATTTTAATCACCTGGAATTTTGACTTGTCATCTTCAAACGGTGGATTATTTTCTTGCTCTTTCCTTAAAAATACACTGGTTTCTCTGTGTTGTTCCTCTGAGTCCTGGAAAAGGAGGTACTAGGTAGAGAAATGAATGAGACTTGATGCTGTTTGGGATATTTCAAAGCATCACACAGCAGGACAATGCAGCTCAGATCAGAACAGCCTTTTGCAGGCAGAGCCTTGCACAGGCAGAGCCTTGTTCAGTGTGTTTATGCAAATACAAAGAGACAACAGAGTTGTACACCGAGGCAAACACTACAGACCATGGCAGCAACAAGGGCAGCAGGAGTTAGATTTAATCTAATTCTGATCATAATTAAAAAAAAATAAAAATTTAAAGGTATTTTAGGACAAACTGATGAAAATTCCCAAATCTGTCATTTGGGAATTCTTCTCCCCAAATATCAACAAAAAGCTTCAAAAGAACTATAAGTTTAAAAGAACAAAACCACACAAATCTCCAAAGTTCACGCAGTATTTTACATTTTTGCTCATGGACAAGCTGCTTGTCTTTTTATTTCACCCTTAGCTCCAGCATGATTAAATACTGTGCAAACAATTCCTTTTACTCCTAATTGTATGTTGTAATCAACAAATAGTAACCAGGAACTGCGTGTGTGTCACCACCTGATTCAGCCTCCTGTCTAGAGATAAAAGACTAAAATTAGATCCATTACAGGAAGAGGTGAGACTGTACTTGCTACATTTGATCAGGAAAAATCCTGCAAGACTCCTGCCAAACTAACTCCTGGGTCATCTGGGTGCAAACAGAAATGACAGCCCTCACTGGCTTTTCTTTTTTAACCAGAGTAAGTAGAATGTGATAGCTGTGGCCTAGTAATGTTCAAGGGCTTTGGATCAGAAGTGGGTCAGTTATGTCAGGGACTACACAAACCCAGCCAGGACTCGTGCAGGCAGGAATTCCTTTCAGACATGGAGCACAAAAGTTACTTACTGTGCTTTTCAGCAGACTGGTGGCTGACTGGTCACTGAAGTTCTCCTGGGAGGCAGGGGATGAGGGACTGTCCTCCTGCACCTGGGTGCAGGCAGCATCTGAAACAGCTGCTTCATCTGAAATGCTTTTGTTCTGAAGATTGCCACTGCTTTCTTCCATTTTTTTGGTCTCACAATCACCAACAGAATCAAACTGAGCAGCTCTGAGAGCAGCAGACAACACTTGGACCTGAGCTGTATAACACAAACAACGACTGTTTAGTCTCCCTTCTGCATTTAAAAGCATTAAACTTGTAGTTAACTCATCTGAAAAAAGAAGCTTAGTATGAGCTGCACAGAAATGGTGTGTTCACAAACATTTGCTCTTGGAAGGAAAAGGCCTCTTACCCTGGAGCACTCAAGAGACTTGGTGAAACAAGAAACTGAGCTGACTATGGATGACAAAGATGGATTTGGTCCAGGAAACACCCTCAGACCCCACTACCAGGCCATTAGCACTTCAATGTGTTCCACAATGGGCCTATATTGGGTGGCTATGGAGGGATAACTTGGAATTAAGGCCATTCTCAGCCAAGTATTAGATGAATTCAGCTGATCACAGGCAGCACTGTCACTAAAACCACAGTACCTACAGTATTTGGAATCTGTTAAAACTGTCTTTAACAAGCTCTTGTCTCTTTAACAACCCTTTTGTAGTTAGATCAATTTATTTCTCATGCCAACAGAAGCCAGGAACACTTCTCCAGCTGTTCTAGAAATAACTCAGGTCTTATGAAAAAGGCTGTTGCATAACTTTCTACTGTAATTTACTGCTCAAGGAAGGCTCATCACCCTGTGAACACCAAGTCAATTAAAAAGCAGTCAGGGGTTTTGTAAAGGCCAGGAGAAAACCTGCTCAGAGAAAACATGATTTTACTACTACAGAGTCTCACCTTGAACATCTGGATCATCTATGTGCTCTTGTAAGCTTTCTAGAACCTTTTTTATTTCACTACTAGCAACACAGTTATTGCATGGCACAGAACAGCTCTCATTGTGCTTTTCAGTCTTGAACTGGAACAGCTCCAGCTCCCGAGTGATGTCAGGCAGAGGAGGGCGCCAGTACAGGAACGTGTTGAACACGTCCTCGCCAGCCCTCGAGGGCATTCCAGGGATACTGCTGTCCTTGGTGACCTCAGGGACACCAGCACCAGCCCTGGCACCCTGAGACAGGCAAGACACATCTTCTCCAGGACTGGCACAACAATCTGAACCTTCTTCTCGTGTGTCTTTATTCAGGTTCTCAGAGAGCTTTGTGTTCACTTCTGCTGAAATCTCCTCAGTTGGTGCTTCTGGTTTGATTTCCATTGGTTGTTCTGAGCTGTAACAGACACACACACTTACTGAAATACTCTGTAACAGCAGGTTTTCAGTGAAATAATTCATAAAAGACACCAGCAACAACAGAAGCTTTTCTCTACAGAAAGACAGAATTTATGTTACCACTATGCTTTACTGCACCAGTTTTCCCTTTACCCTCTGGTGAAGGCAAAGTGAATTTTTCAATAAACTGGCTACACTCAAATGTGTAATCTCACTTCTTCTCTAGAACTATATTCTCAAGCTGAGATCTTAAGCCTTGACAAGCAACAAAACCAATTAACTTCTTTTAATCCCTTCCACTACACCACCCGTTTTCCCATGATTTACCTGGACAATGTAGCATTTGCACTGGAGGACATTAAAGTGACATTGTTGCTTGGCTGACAGGGATTGGAATTCACATCTTGTGCTGGGGGTCGGATACTCAGTGTCCCGTCTTCTCGAATGTAAAGCCCAGCACTTGAAGGGTTTGCAAAGGTAGAAATAAATGGGCCAAGAGACTGAAAAGCAGCCTGACGAACCTGGGGGGGGGTGCAAGAACAGTCAGGCTTCATCAGCTCCCACAGAGTTGAAAAATGAAAATCTGGTGCAATTTTTTAGGAAGAACCGATTGGTTCTTACTGTAACAGCTTCATTTAATACAAAATACAACCAAGTACCAAATAAGTGCCACCTAAGCAAAGGGTGTTAGAACATCAATCATGTAACTACAATCACTGCACAGAAATCTTTTAAAAGTTAAAAATTTGAAGGACATCCCTGTCTACTTCAATCTATTTAACACAAGCAACCTTCTCTCAGAAGTGTATTTACAGTTAGAATTTCTATGAACAGGGTTCTTTAAAAGTAATGAGAGAGGAAAAATAAGATCTGTCTTAATAGAAAAGATTAGTTTTTAGTGCATTAGACTCCAATCTCAGCAAATGTTCTTCAGCACACTTCTGACTTGCCCATTATTTCCCAGGATGTGTCTGGGAAGATGCACCAATTCCAGGGTGAGTTACTCACCCATCTGCAGGTGTCACTGATGAGGCTGATGAACAGGGGGGACAGTTTGCTCCTGCGAACCTCTGGGGACGTGGTGTAGGACACTGCCATGAAGCACTCAGCACAGGCTTTCCTCATCCCCCAGACACTGTCAGAGCAGAGCTCAAAGAACTTGGGAATCTGCCAAAAATAAGCAAAACCAAGGCTAATTAAAGGCTAAACACAGTCTGCAGCAATACCATAGTATTTGTCTGAAAACCGGACACAAACACAACGAGAGAACAAAGTGAAGAACAGAAGAAAGAGGGACAGGTTAAACACATACACTAATTGAAGGAATTGGGAAAAAACCCTAGCTGTCTCCCATTTAATCCATTAGGATTTTATGTATAATTATATGTAATAAGGAAGAATAGAAAGAATTATTAATGGCCTGTTTTTCCTGAAATCATGACTTGATTGATTATCTAGTTCTGGGAAAAAAAGAGTGAGTCAGTAATTCTAAAGTGTGTATGTATGTATATAAAAATATATATATCTGCTGTCAATTACATTTTTAAACATGTTTTGCAAAACAAGAACTTTGCATTTCTCTTCATTCCCAGTTTTGCTAAGTAATTGCAACCAAGGCCTTAACCTAATCAACTCAAAAAAAGCATGCATGTTAAATAATTTATAGACAAGACAATAAAAGAGCACATTATTAAACTTTTTGAACTGAGAAATACAAGTCTTGTAAATTGATTTGGTTTTACATACCAGCAGTCTTTCTGTGGCTTCTTGCCCAACTGCATTACAAATGTCACCAAAATTAGCTGCACAAATCTAAGAAATAAAAAAGCCATTAACAACACTGTGTCTCTTTCAAGGGCATTAGTTTTATTAACATCAACTTCCCCCTGGATTATTTATCCCACAGAACAACTGCACATGTCTGGACTATTCAAATTTCAGCCCTGTAACTACAGTGTGTAACATTAACTCATCCCAAAGAAAGACTTGTGCCATGCAGTGTCCACACACCACGTGCCTCGGAAATCAATCGTGACAAAGGTTTCTGCATGAAGAGCATCATCTACCTCAGTAACCACACAAGGGACAATAAGCCTGCCTGATAGTTTAAATTACTTTGAGCAGCAGCTGTCAAACCCAAAGCAGGGGAACACATGATACCAGGGTCAGGACTTAGGTGTACTGACAGAACTATCCTGGCTCAAGGTGGCTTAAGTACTTTGCTGAGGCAAAGTTTAATCAAGGGCTCAAGTTAGTGCCATTTCCAGGCCATTAGAGAAGCTATAATTAAGGCAAAAGGGACATCCCCTCATGCTGGAAAAAGATGTTGCCAAAATCTGAAATCAATTAAGATAGGACTGTGTTAATACTCATTCTATTCACTTCATGTGCTTATTTACAAGGCTATAATGCAGCTCGAATTCCAACAAGTGCAGCTTATGTTACACACCAAGCTGGAGCTCTGCGTGACCCTTAAGTCTACTCAAATATTTTAAGACTTCTTATGCTACAAGTTTCCTTTTGTACTCAAACATGAATTAATGTATTATACTTCTGGGATTTCTCCTTTCAATAGCAATAGATTTAAAAAAAAAAAAAAAATTAAAGGAAGGATGTCTCAAATGTCTGTTATTTTTGAATTTCTGGTTTAAACGAGATGGTAGAGATGAGGTAATTTGTTTGCATCCTATAACCACTCACAGCAGCTTTAAAAAAACAGTTGTGCAAAACTATTAAATGTGCAAGACCAGTTTAACTGCTGGACCAAAGCTATTCACCAAGGTCTGTTATCCATTTCTTTACTGCACCACAGAAGCTATAACCGTGCCAATAAATAAAAACTGCTCTTCCAGATGCTTTCAGAGTTCATCAGCTAAAGTAATGACTAAATTATTTAGGAAGGGATTTGAACAGCAACATGCAAGTTTCATTTTTAGGTAGCTCAAGAGCTGGAAACACACCAACCTTTCGGACTTGAAACAATTTGCCATCACTGCACAGTTCACAGAAACGAGGAAGCAGCATGTGCTCAACTGTTGTTCTGCTCAACATAGAGGCCATTTTACAGATTATCTGAAAAACAGGAAAGGGATGTGTGAAAGGAGAAGAAAATTATAAAGCTTGGACACACAGCCAAATATTCCTCCTAAAAATTACCTCAGAGAGCAAGACAGCAGAAGTCAGATAGATTTAACTGCTACACATTATTCGTGTTTTCATACACCTGTTTCACGTGAAAGACAACTATATTTTTATTTTAAATCATTCTATGTGCCTGAACTGTGCCTGAACACAACATTTCTGCATGTAATTCATTGTCTTTTATCTCGTTAAATAGACTTCCATTAATGTATTTGTTTTCAAGGTGTTTACAATGGGGCATACACTGGGATTTTGTACAGAGAAGACAAAAATCCCATTGCACTTATAAAACCCACACTCTTTAGGCACATTAGAAATATCTCATACTTCAGCATGCAAGGAAGACATTGGGCTCTAGCAGGATTGTTCAAATACTTAAAAATGTGCACAGTCCCAGCTCTTTATAGGCTCAGACACCAAAATAAAACACAAGTTTGCCATACAACAGGAGAGAAAAGGGAGTGCAAGAAAAACCAGGTATATATGTGAGCTAATGCACACTGTACAGGACTGATCCTCAGGAATTTCAGGAGTTAACAGTGCACAGGTTAAAGGAAGTTAGTAACATTTTCACTACCATTACAAACCATGTTTCTGCTGTGAAAAATCAGGTGCTTTGGACTCTGTGTTTTCTGTCAGTTCCCAGTTTCTGGGATAAGTTTCTGTAATTCTTGTATTTGTAACAGGAAAAAGCAAGGGGCTCCCATGCACTTTCCTACTCAACTGCTCTGCCCACAGCAACAGGAGTTTAATGCTTACACAGGTGTTGTCAGATTAACAGTACTCATCTATTTTTATTTTTCAAAACATGTTGGAGCTTTCTACCTCCACAAAAAATAAGCTTTATTCCTTTCTAGGAATAAATGTTTGCCTTTTTAACAGAATGTTAAATAAGAACGAAGGAAAACACCATTCAAGGACTTTCCTACAAATTTTCTAACTCCTAAAAGGCATCTGGTGCTCAGATGTCATCCTGGAAAACTGCCTAAGCAATTCCCAACTCCCAAACAAGGAAGAGGAAAATCTAGCTGGTAAAATATTTTACAGGTCAAGTGTCAGATATCCATGCTGAAATGTAATTACACACCAGCACTTTTCTGTGGAGTCAACTGATTTCCATAAAGTCACCAGGCAATGTTTTTTTCATAACACTTCAGAACTCAGAGAGGTCATCACTGACACATCTACAGCGTTACTGTGAAACCTGGTGGAGCAAATGCAAAGAAACTGCTGGGGAATAAAACAATCTTAAGAAGAATTAAAACAAGGCTGCCAAGGAGCAACTGTATTTTAAAGTTATCCAGGTACCATTTTGACATCATTTAGCATGCTGAAGTATAAAAATGGTCTCTCTGTATTTTCAAGAATTCAGAACAAAAATTAAAGACTTGTTGTGTTAAACTAAAAAATCCAAATATCTTAAAGAATAAACACAAAAAGTTTGATTGCTTATTTAATGGCAGTATTATTCCTGGACCTCATCTTAATTGTCATTATAATTTAATGTTATAAACTTACATTCACAGCTTCCACCTTGTACTCATCATCACTGTCAGGGGCAGAGAGGTCCAGCAGGATGGGACACACCTTGTTTTCAATGTCACTCTGAGCCACAAGGTCCTGTTCCAGCAGTATCAGCAGTGCCTCCTGACCTGCCTTTCTAACCTGTACACAGGAACACACAAAACCAGTTTGTCACCGTAAAACCAACATTTACTGATACAAGAACCAAAAAAAAACCATTTTTTCAATGAACACACAGGTACAAGTTAAAAAAACAACAAAGCAGACCCATAAAAAGAGTCTCAGTTTTATGACCATGAGGAATTAGTAATAAAGACTACAGTTTAATATAACCATTAGATGACATTTCATCATATTCTGATGAGAAGCCAAAAGATGAAGCATAAAGCAGGATTTGCAAGTTATGACTCCTGTAACAGACCCCATCCCTGTGCTGCTGAGCCAATGCTATAAGTTTTCCATTATCTGCCAAGGAAAGTATTAAAAAAAAAAAGAAAAAAAAATCAGACCTCACAGAAAAATGTGCTGACACCAGTAAACAGAGCACTGCATAAAAGCCAGGTGTCAATCAGCATGGAATTTCCTGTTATCTCTCTCCCATGCCTCCAATGCACTGAACCACACAGAATTTTCCAACAACTCAACTCATGTTGTCTGCTTTTCCTACCTGATTGTTAACATCTGTGAGGTATCTCACTACTATGGGCATAAGGTATTCAAAAAATGCTGTGGGGAAATTTGGTCTGCTTTCCTGCAGGAAAATGGCAATGGGAGGGATCTGTTCCATCAGCTCTGTACGTACAGTTGGCTCTAGAAATAAAAGGCAAAACTACATTAGTAAGTATGAAATTAAGATCAGGTACCTTAAGGAAAAAGTAGCATTTTTCTTTTTGTTTTCGCAATAGAGGAAAATGAAAACAATCAAAATATAGAAAGGGCATCACAGATTGCCTGTTCTTCAAGGAAAACTAAATCAAATGGAATAGCCTTACATACATCATCACAGTTCAGACACTTGGCATCAGAGACTTCCCAAACAAATCAGATAAAATAAGGGCACTAGCTGGAAAACCCAGTCACCACAAATACATGCACATGAGGTATTAAAACACACAGCTGCTCTGTGCCACCTACAGCACAGTCAGATGTAATAAATTCCTTGAAAAATATCACTTCAGGCCCTATTCTAAGTAAGAACCTTTCATTTAACATCTTATCTACCACACAACATAGTTCAAAAGCAGAGAAAAATTGATCTTCTTTTCATTGACAGACATTGCTGCTGGATGATTTAGTTCCCTTAGTTCACTCTTTGCCTCTCAAAATTGAATGTCAGTACTTTCTATATTGCAGCTTATGTAAAATAAACTACAAAAATTAAGAAAACCCAAGCAAAACAAAGCTTTCAAACCTGCATCTTCAGAGAGCCTGACCACTATTTCCATTACAGTCAGGAAGTCTTCTTCATTGTTACTGAAATCTCGAAAGACATCCAGAAGACCTCTGGCAATAATTTGCCTGTGGAGTGAACAACATTAATTGCCATAATATCCAGCCAAAAACATGTAGATGGGACACCAGGGGAACTTATCCAATGTAAATGGGGCACCTTAAAAAGACCTCTGACCATTCTACATCCCAACCAAAGAAAGATGGAATCAAGAGAACTTATTCAGATAATCAAGAACGAAAACCTCTTTTCATGGAAATGTTATACAAAAGTTATTCAAATAGAAATAATAATATGCATGCGTTTGGGAGATTAATAAAAGACACAGTGACACCTTAACATCCTCAGTGCACTCAGTTATCACCAGGTGTGGCTCTTGCACCCCTACCTGTTAAAGACATTATCGCTGAAGGCATATTTTTCTAGACGAGCCAGTGGAGTTAAGTTATCCTGTCCAGGGATATCCAGGAATGCTGTTATCCTCATGCTATCACAGTCTGGCCCATAATCTTCAAATCCAACTTGAAAGACAAGAAAAGTAACAGACAAAAAAAAAAAAAACAAAACAAAGCCCAAGAGTCAGCAAGAGATGTTACAATGGAATACATGATAGCAGTAACTATTTCTTCAAGAGTATTTGAACATCACTGGAAACAGCTTTCCAAAACCAAAAAATCTTAAATTGTATCTAATGAAGTTGAGTGCAACACTTGCACATAGCCCTGTAAATTTAAGCTTTGATATTTAAATCAACTGTCAAAATCTTTGGCTTTAAACACACTTGACTTTGCCCTTTGAGTGCAGTAACCACATGCATTTCGAGTTAAGAGGGCTCAGCTCACACAATTGCCACAAACTGACCCACAAATTCAAAGGGAAAATAAGTTCCATTAAAAGGAACTGAAATTTTAACAGTTTTAGAGTTGCAACTCTCAAACTGTATTGCTTTAAAACAGCAAATTCCTATGTCTTTTTCCAACTTCCCAGGGGACATTTTTCTCACTGTAGTTACTGAGTTGCACATATTTAAATCAGACCAGTAGCTTTGGGAAAAACTTCACCTTCACCATACTTGGAAATGTGCTGGGGGCTTCCTGCTGCAGATCCATCAACTACAGACTTTTCCACATAAGCATACTCTGTTCTAAGCCTTTTTTGTATTTGCAGCTTTACACTTTTACCCAAGTATTAAATTTGCCTCAGAAAGTCCAAGAGTCACCTAATCCAGTAACAATTACAGAATATAGGCAGAAGGTAAAACTGTGAGAAGGAAATGGAATGGGATGACTTTGCTGTCAGACTTATTTTAATCCTTCATCCTTAAAAGAGAGACAGTGAAATAACATGCTGGCATCACACCAGTGCTCTCATTCCAGCCATGGATACAGGAACATGTACAGCAACCAACTCCATGGAAAGAGTGGCACTGCAGTAGCTGATATTCCTGCTCGGGGTTTACAGTTGTCCCCTCCTAGAACTATGCACACTTCTTTCACACAAACAGAGCAACTGTGATCATACTTAAATAAATGCAAATTGTGCCAACACAGCTTCTCACATGCATGAAGTATTGCAAACCAGCACATGTGCTGAGAGTGACAACCACTGAAGACAACAAGCCAAATTCTTTGGCTCTAAACTACAGTAATACCCATTATAAATCACTTTTAATGTCAAAAACCCCTCTATTTTTCCAACAGAAAAATTCTTATTTCATATATAAAACTCTCCTTTCCAACTATTTAACATGAGTCAAAACATCCTCAGAAATAAGGCTCATTTAGAGAGGAAAATATCTGAACACACTTGGAGCAAAATGTTATACCTGGGTCCTCAGGGGGAAAAACATAAAAATCAGATTGGTTTAAGGTCTCCACAGAACCCAGGTGAGTTAAAGACCAGAGCAATTCCAAATTCTGCTGCTCGTGCAGACAACGTGCTCAGCAAGCTCAGTGGGGTTCAAACAGCAGAAAACTGTGGGCTTAGAATAAGTGTTCAAATCCCAAATGTGCACACAGGCACTACCAGTGAACCCACAGCTACATGACCAGAAACAGCTGCTAATTATTCATGGCTTTGTATGGTGATGAGGTATTGCACTGACACCCTTATTTCCACCCCACTGCTCCTTAAAGAAGGGCCTGTCAGGTTCAAAACATTTCTCTGCAGCAGTGTAAACAATTTCCAGTGCAGGGATCCATCTGGGATCGATCTGCTCCAGGACTTCCCCAATCACAGCACCTGAACATCCAGATTTGCTGCTTCAAAAGAAACCTCTGTATCCGTGACAGCTCAGGGGAAGTTACACAGTGTCTGTGGGATTGCAGATTTCCTTTCTGAGGCTGCAACAAACCCTCCACATCCACACTCCACTCTCATCATCCTTATAGCTACAGTTCTAACAAATGTATTTTAAAATGCACACAGACTGAACACTCACTAGCTAATTTTTGAGCCTAGTCACCTGCCATACAAAGAAAGATTTATTAGGGCTCAAGAAAACAATTAGGAGCAATATACTTGTCATTAACTCCACCTGGCTCCCACCTGTCCCCAATTAGAAACACTTTAAAAATAAAGGCTTTGATTAGTTCACTTCAAATATTTCAGAATTTCTACCAATTCAAATGACAATGAAATAAATCCCAATTCTAACTTTGACTACTATACCACACCTGGGACTAGTTTTGTAAACATGATGAACATGTTTAATTTTACTATGTGAAGTAGCTCTATTATTCATTTAAATTACCTAAGCACATACCAGTGCTTCCAAGGGTAGAGAGAAAACAGAGCACTATTACTTATGCTCAAGATGGAGAGTTAAATACCTGAAATTTTTTCCACACGCTCTCACTACACACAAGTAAGGAATAATCATGGCAGAATCCATTTTGTCTTCTCTCAGGGATTTTTTCTTTTTCCATAAAAAAAGAAGCCATAGGTACTTACAGGTTTCAGAATACACCAGAGTACTATGAAGTAAATCACAAATAATGAACTAGCATTTCTTGTCTAATGGTCTTTCACAGCTAAATTTAACATTAAGTATTTTCCTATTTAACTATATTAAACAAGTAAGCTTGAAATCTGTCCACCTCTGAGGAGGAATAAATGAGCCAGTACCCAGAGCTGAACTCGAGTTCACTGTGTCTCAGTTTGCCCCAGACTCAAAAGCTGCTTAGAGCCTGTAAGAAACTCAGGGTCACAGGATCTAAGGGTGCAACTCAATGTCATCTCCCAGTGCCACTATTCACATTTCACAACACAAACCAGTAAATACCAGTGCAGAGTGCAACGATTTAATGAGCTCAAGGAGGTCATTTTCCCTCCTGGTGTTTGTAGAAGGAAAACCAAATTCTTTAAATACTTTCTTTTTAAATGTTCAAAGGGCATAAATAAGCTAATTATTTTTCCAGATGATCCATTATCTCATCTTAGAGAAAACAAGTTTCAAACTGCACTTGAATTGAGGTAGATTTTACTACAGCCCTTTGCCACATTCAGAGTGATCCTCCAGACTCTGTCTCAATCTTCAGTGTGCATGACACTTTCGCCAATTTAGTTAAGAAAGTAAAAGTCCAGTTCCAGTGCTATATTTCACTGAGGTTTCCCTAAAACACATCATGAACTCTTTGCTAATCTAAGTCACTGATTAGCACAACAATATCTCAGATAGGACCCCTGAACTCTGCTACAACACAGAGACAACAGCTTTTGCTTCCATAATTCTAACTGCATTACCAAATTAATGAACTTAATCAAAGAGTATTTTAAATCATAAAATAAGACTTTAATAATGCTCTAAAAGGCACATTTATTTATATGCTTATGCTGAAACCGATAATTTCTCTTATTAATTACCACTTATGGCAAAAACTTCTTTATCTGGACATTTTTATTAACTGGAGTTTTGCCTTAGAAGCATCAAACTTTTTAATCAATTTACCAGACAAATGTATCATAGTCTCAACAAAACAGCCAAAGACTGAGCACTAATACAGAACAAACACTTCTAGGGATGGGCACCCCTGGTCCAAAGCCAAAACCCATAACAGAACCACTACTAAGTTGGAGTTTATTTCTGCTGTTTGCACTTTAAACCTCAAAGACTGAGAGCAACAACTAACAGAATCCCACAGAGCCACCTCCTCCCACAGAGGCAACGTCCCTGCACATCTTCCCAATGGAAGACTTGGGATCCCACTTGTATCCCAGCATTTCCCCTGGTGTTCTGAAGACCATCATCTTAATAAATCTGTTACACGTTTTCAAGCACTATTAAACAATAACGGTCTTGTGATAAACAAATACGGTTTCTCACAAGAAACACACACAAGTATCATTCTTCATTTCTTTTTAACAGAAAAGTCAATCCAGCATCCGAAGTGCCAATGAAACCACCCCACAAAGAAAGCTGCTTTCTAAAGCCATACAAGTTCGTATCATTGTTAGTCAAGGCTTTATCTCCTTAAATCACAGCGCTCACCAAGCCGTGCTCAGGTCTGACAGGTGTCCGACTCTTCTGTAACACAGCCCTGGACTGCACCGGCTTGGGGTGGAGCTGTTCCCTGCCCTGGGACCCACGACAGGGTACTGAGCCCAAAACCACGGCTTTGTGCGACCCAACCGCAGCACACACGGCGATTGTTGTTCCCTTTATCCCGAGGTGCACTCGCAGCACATCCCGGGGATGCAGAACAGCGGAACACGCGTCCTCAGCAGCCTCTACAGCCTTGCAAAGTCAATTCCTTAATTCCCACCGACCACAGGAGCGGGGCTGCTCCCCCGAGCCACCCGTGCGCCTTTCCAGGCTCATCGCGGAGCTGCTCTTTACACCGAGCCCAGCGGCCCCTGGAACCAGCGGGGATGGTCCCAACGCCCTGCACACCTCCACCTGCTAGAACTGCCTCAACATCCTCCCCTCGCCCTCACCGGGGTGGAAATGCGGAGAGGGAAAGAGGGCAGCAGGAGGACCCCGGGGCGGGAGCGGGGGCCTGAACGGGGAGCGGAAAAATAAAAAAAACAGTTACTCACAATCATCTAAGTCATCCTGCAAATCCACAAAATACAAAGGGATCCCTACAAACGAAAAACAGAAGAGAGATACCAGGGGGGTTGGTTTCGGAGGGACGGGGCAGCCCCGGCTGAGCCGCCCGCCCGCCCGCCGGCCCCACTTACCGGCCATCTTGGAATGGACATGGGCGAGGAGGAGGAGGAGCGGGAGGGCACAGGGAGGAGCCGCCGGCGCTTCCTGCCGCCGGGTCAGCCCCGAAACGCCACCGGGTTGAACGAGCCGCGGCTGCCGGGGGTCGGGCGGCCCCTCAGCGCCTGAGGAGAAGAAGAGTGGGGCGGGGGGCGCGGGCGGGGATTCCGGCGGCCGCCCAAGATGGCGGCGCGGCCGCGCAGCCTGAGGAGGAGCGCGGGGCGCGGGTAACCGGGGCGGGCGCGGGGCGGCCGCGATGATCGAGCTGGGCCGCGTCTCAGGCGCTCGCTGAAGGCGCAGCCCGCCCGGCCATGGCGCTGAGGGAGCTCAAAGTTTGCCTTCTGGGGGTAAGTGTGAGGCGGCGGAAGGGAGGGTGGGAGCGGGAGGGAGAGGCTCTGTCAGAGCCCGGAGAGCCTCCGCAGTGATGGTGGGGAGCCTCTGTCAGAGCCCGGAGAGGCTCCGGCCGCGGGGATCCGCTCCCTGGGCGGAGGGTGCCCCTCGCCCCGTCCCTGAGGGGAGCGGGCCTTCCCCTCCTCAGGGGAGGCGTTTGCCAGCCGTCAATATCGGTCCTTTTTTCCCCGTGTTCTTCTTTTAAAAATGAGAGAGGAAGCACGAACATCCAGCCTGTGCTTCCCTCTTCCTCACAAGCTGTTCTGGGCTTGGAGCTCGCAAGGTAAATAGAAGCACCTGAAATCAAAGTGGTGGGAGAGAGGGAGGGGCCTGAACTTTTATTTTAAGGACATACGGAGGCTTGGAAGCCTTGCAGGTGGGGGAAGAAGGAGTCGTGGTGCAAACTGAAGCAGAAGTTTAAAGAATTCAGGGCTGTGAATTTAGTCTTGGTTTAGTCAGGGAGCCTCTCGTTGAGCAGGTGGAGGTGCCACCACCTGCATCTAAACCCTGCATTGAACAGGGTCGGGCAAGAGTTTTCTGCTTCTAAATGGCCACATTGACCTTCAGAGGGGAAAATTATGTGTTTGTGTGCCCTTCGCGTTACGAAAGCATTTGGGGTAACTGCTGTTTGTGTCCACCCGACCTGAGAAGCCTTTTGTCAGGTAAGAAGAGAATAAGCACCCAGGAAAACTGGTCCTTGAACTCCCAGAGCCAGGAGCCACATCTGTATTTCTCTGTTTAAGGTTTGCTCTGCTTAATAAGACTGCAAGCAATATAAAATGTTGTTTTTTTAGAAGAACTGGGATAATATGCTTTTCCTTGAGAGAAAAACAGCTTGACGGGGTAAACCGAGTCATATGTACTGCACCCAAATTTACTGCAATATTCAGAAGATTCAAAAAATCATACGAATAATGTACAACTTCATTTTCAGTGAAGCACTTCCTCAGGGTTTTTTTTCATTAAAATTTTGATGACTCTGGAGATATAAAGCAAGAAGTTGGTCTTCGAATGTATTAATTACATTACAATTTAAGATGTCCATCTACTGAGAAGAGTTTACTGAGTAATTTCAGTTCTAGATATGACTTCAATATATCTACTTTTTCACCATGGAATCAGTGGTGCAAAAACATACACGACCCAGAATTTTCATGTTATGTTTCCTCTCCTACCATTTGTAGAGTTGCATTAGTAACATGTTTCAGGTGTGTCACAGAAGAAATTTCAAGTCTTTCATTAAGCAGGGTGGGACAGCATTAGTCAGAGGTTAAATGCATGTGTCACACTTGTATAATTCCACGTGTTCCCTTGGTCCTCCATCCTGCCAAGCCATACTCAGTTGCTGTGTATTTTACTAATAGTGGTCTTTCCCTGCTGCTGTTCAATTGCAAGGTTTGCATAAGTTTGGAAAAGAAAAGTTTGAATAATAAATAATAAGTGTGAATGCAGATTTTTATAGTCCTTCATGAAAAGTCGCAGCAATTTCGTTTAGAAAACTGTGACTTGTCGCAGGCCTTTCCTTTTTCTACTAAATTACTATAATACTTGAAGTATTTCATCATCTAATTTCTCTGAGATTCTCGGCAGGAATGTATTATCACCATGTACTGCAAGATCTGAGGACAAAATATCATCTGTTTATAGTAACTAATGTCACTTTCAACTGTTTCTGTTCTTTTTTTAGGACACTGGTGTGGGCAAATCAAGTATCGTGTGGAGATTTGTAGAAGATAGCTTTGATCCCAACATCAACCCAACAATAGGGTAAGAAACCGAATAAAGCAGATGTGATTTATTCATGAATAAAATGAAATTATCTGAATAGATCGCTCGAGGATTCTTCGTGTGTGGCAGCTAAATGTGGCAATAAACATGACTGCAGCCTTAGTGAAGCTCCTGAGCTGCCTTAGGACACGTAGGAGTGTTCTCAGCACTTGTGAAGCTCACATGTTCATCTGTAAGATCTGGACCCATTTTTTATTGTTTATCTAAGCTAACAGTGAATAAATTACACTATAGATGCTTTTGCTAAAGGGACAACACTCTTTTCTTATGCACTACCTTTAAATTGCAACTTCTAATTATTATGCAACTACACGGTTTTTAATATTTTTTTTTTAAATACTCAGGTACAATTACAAGTGTCCTAGGTTTTGAAGGTGGTTAACATAATAATTTAGGTTGTAGATCTTTCCCTGAATTAGTTCCATTGTTACACATCTATGTGCAATGCACACACAAAAGTAACTGGTGAAACTGTTCATGCAGTTGGTCTCACAGGGAAGGAGGGTGTTTAAAAGCTGAGCCTCAGAGTAGCAACATTACTGAGCTCAAATCCTCAAATGAGTAGAAGGAAGGGCAGTAGGAAGTAGCTGGACCTTTTTATTTCTTTTGCTGTCTTTCTTTTTGCTTTTCAAGTGTCTTGTGGGCTGCTTTGATCAGAAGCAGTCCTTGGCTTAGGGGAGGACACACTTTGCTTGATGCCCAGGAGTGTGTGGGGGTGTCGGTGCAGCTTCCTGTCTCAGGTGTCACACGGGCTCTACTGCAGCTCTGACCAGAAGAGATCCTGCTGATAAAGATCAGCTGTGTCTCATCCTGTCCTTCTAAAAAATTGGGCTCCCCATGATCTCTCTTTCCCCTTACACTCCCCCCACACACACTTTTTGAGTGTAAATACTGGTATGGACTCGCAAGATGTTCTGTGGGAAGCGTGCTTTTGTTTAAATTTCCCTGTTAACAGCAGCAGCTTTTGGAATGAACTTCATCCAATCTTGTTGTCTTTCCTCTGGAGTCAGTTTGGTTTGATCTGGTGATTTTCTGACTGGTGTGTGGGTTGATTTTGTTTTCTCCTTTTATTCTCCTCCCTGCAATGTAGCACCTCCGTGTTGGAAGGCAGGAATCCAAAGAAATCCCTTGCATGTGTCTTCCCAGGGGAATGTCTGTCACTGTGTAGGGAGTTCAGGTGCTGTTGGAAGGTGTTAGCCATTGTGGTGAGGAGGCTGGTGTGTACAAGAGAATTTTCCTTCACTGGTTTAATGACAGTACTGAGATTAGTACACTTGATTGAAGTGACAGACTCAAAATCTATCTTCTACCAGTCTTAAAATCATTCCCTTGTCTGAGGACTTGGTAGTTTGCTACAGTAGTATAAATGAATCAAAACCTGCCCAAATGCAGGGGTTGTGTGAAGCTCCAATAAGATACAGAGACCCAAAAGTTTAAGCAGATTAACTTTGAAATTTATTTTAGACCTTGCTTTTATTTCCTGTTTGAGACTAGTAGGTGGAAAGAACAAACTAAGGATTAGAGAGGAGTTTTGAGCACCTTACAAAACTAAAGCTGAAAATATTTTGACTTCATGGGATACATGTTTGAGTTCATGACTGAGGTACGGTCTTGTTTCCTGTTCTGTTTTCATTCCTCTCAGAACTGTCTGAGCAATCACACTTTGTTGTTGTGAATATTCATCACAAAAGTTCAAACATGAGCAGCTGTAAAAGCCCTATCAGAATTCTGCAACTTTTGTCCTCTCAGGGTGTTGAGGACACATTTAACCAGTATCTGTCTCTAGGTACTGCAGAATACCTAGTCTTTCATTATAGCATCAAAAAACAATTATGAGTATCAAACTGCTTTCAGGTACATCTTGTTCAGGTAGTTACAGAGCCTTCTTGGCTGGGAGAAGCAGCAAGGAAATGTAGTAACAAACCAGACATTATTCTACTAAAAGTCATCAGGGATAACTCGTTTGGAGGCTTTTGTTGATCCAATTGGCAAAGAATTTCAAGCCACATTTAACCTCTGTTGTCAGCTACCACTTGGGATGTTTAGTTGTGATGTGAATTACAGAAACACAGCTGTGCAGTTCATATTGACTGTACAGGCATGTTTTGGTTTATGGAACCAAGGAAGATAAATTCAGTGAGAATCAATGATTTAGGAAACTGTTTCCATGTTGACCTGAGAATTTGGATTTGGTGCTTATTTTGCAGCAGTCTTAAGGAAGTGGAAGTTTCTGCTGTGCTTTACAAGAGATACTCCTATCACTTTGTTTTTCTTTACTCAGTGCAGAAATACATCAACTAGTTAATGGTGTTGAAATGCATTGCAATTAGGCCCTTCCTTTGCAGGAGTTCTGCAACCTTATATTTGCCTTCTTAAAAGACTAATCAACTTTGGAGACTTGATGTACTATTTGGCAAATGAGCTGGGCTTAAGGAATGGGGAGAAAGTTACCTCCAAACAGTTGGAAGCATTGTGTAACTGCTCCCTTTCCCTTTTTTTTAACATAGATAGTTATTTGTCCTCCTATAGCATTGAAACATGTCCAAAGACTCCAGATATAATGAATACAAAAGTGTCAGGAACATGATTAAAATCTGTGCCCTGGTGGTACTTCAGATCCAAGACAAACTTGAGTCTTGGGCATTTAATGTTGTTGATCATGCTGAAAGGCTCCTGCTGAGTCTGACTGTACAGCAAGTACAGTTGGGGTGCTGGAAGAGGCTCCAGTACCTTCAGAATCCTGTCCAAAACTGACAGGAAAGCAAGTTTGGAAGTCTGTAGTATTTTCAAGTGACAAGCATTAATCATATAAAAGGTGTTCAGGATCACAATGTAGGATCTCATGTCACCTATAGTTCCAGTTTTACAAGGATTTGAATTCACTGTGTGGCTTTTCTAATAAAAAAATGTGCCTACAGGTAATAGATATAGCCAAGAACTCCCTCTTGTAAAAGATTAGTTCTCTGAATTTGTGTTCTTATGGGAAATACACTGATTCATCTAAAGCAGATCAAG